TACACCATTGAATACCCAATTAAAGTCATTAACTAAAACTTTATAACCCTCCTCCTCCCTGGTGGGACATAAGGTCATGATCTTTTCTTTCCCTCTAGGCCTGTCATGTGTTGATTGCTCGTTAAGCGGCACCCCTATTGTTTTAAGCAGTACTTGAGTCAGTGGGAGGGGGTAACTTTCCACTACATGATACTTTCAGTTCAGTACAGGACAACCTTGAATAAGGAAACTTTTACTTGGAAGTATGGTAATTCATGGAAGTAAAAGAAAATAAACTACACAACATAAGATGAAGTACCCTCCCTAAGTTCTCTCCAGGCAATCCTAGTACTAAATCACGACCAGTGAAAGATTAGTTCTTCATTTTGGGCTTGTAGATAGCTCTCTTGAACATCCATCATCATCATTATCATCATCATCATCATGATTCCATGAACATATACTAGACAATATAAGATGAAGTACCCACAAGCCACACAAGCATAAAAACACTGTAACCCTGGCAAATTCTCCCCAAGTTCTCTCCAGGCAATCCTAGTACTATTCATGACCAGTGAAAGATCAGATCTTCATTTTGGGCTGGTAGGTAGATAGCTCTCTTGCACACCCATCATCACCATTATCATCCTCATGATTCTATGAATATATACTACACAACATATATAAGATGAAGTACCCACAAGCCACACAAGCATAAAAACACTATAACCCTGGCAAATTCTCCCAAAGTTCTCTCCAGGCAATCCTAGTACTATTTACGAGCAGTGAAAGATTAGATCTTCATTTTTGGTAGATAGCTCTCTTGCACATCCATTATCATCATCATCATTATTATGATCCTCATGATTCCAGTTGCAGCCTTGACCTGCTGTAGCCGTCACTTTCTCACAAATCCTACAACATATGTGTGCATTCTCAGAAGTAAGCCTGCGTATCGTCTGACAAATGTGGTCACGGAGAGTGAAAACGTGAATACTCGACATTTGCCTTCTTCTCTGATCCTGATATCGTTCAAATGTAGTCTAATAACTGGGCAAAACTAAGATGGTCGCGCCAAGCAAAGTTGGTGGTAATTGCTGGTAATAGTCACCTTCATTCTCTCGTTCTCAACATTGTCACAGTCTACAATTTAGACCTTTCATATCTTATTATTAACACGAATAACCGAGGATGCACGTCGTCATTATTTTTATCACTTCTATGCAGGTGTAGTTTTGACCGTGAACTTTTGACCGGTTTCCAGTGAAGTTAGGAAAACTCTACATTTGTCAGTAATAATAATACCCAATTCCCACTGGAGTCTGCGAGCGCCGATGCGAGCAAACAGTTGATTAGCCTGGGTTCTATCAGGGTGTAGTGTGTGTAAGGAGCCCCGCACTACCATGCTAACATTTAAAAGGTTGCTAAACGACTTTCATACAACGAATCTTTCTAACTTTTTAGTGTGCTGTCGTGTTTTCAATCATAGTTTCATGTTGTGCACCATATTATCGCCATGATGCCACAAATCGCTCAGTGATCCCCGCACAGTGGAAAGAAGGCCTAATCGATACGAACTCGAATCTCTTGTCAGCCTGCCTACAGGTGAAAAATAAGGCTATTTCTCCTGCCGCTTGGGTCTGGCTTTAAAGATGACTGGGATCCTTACCAACCTGCTAGTATATCAACGTTTTAAATTTCAGGTTCTGGAAAGATCACATTAATTCTATTGCCAAAGTATCCAAGCAAAGGTTTGGGTTTGGGGTTATTTTTGGCTTGTTTTTAGGCTTTTTTATCGGGGTTTCTCTTTTGCACTAGGTTGGGTGAAAAAATTCCAGTGCAAAAGAGAAACCCCGATTAAAAAAAAAAAAACTAAAAACACGCCAAAAATAACCCAAACCTCTGCTTGGAGAGTACATCTTGGGACAGGCATTGGTGTAGTGTACGTCCTAGTTTTGGCCCCCATGTGTAGAAGAAAAGTCAGGAGACTGAAACATATAGCTGCAGCAGACAGTGTTGAAGTGTGTCATTATACGGATATACGTCTTACCTTCGGCCCCTCAGTGTCTGAAAGAAGACGACATTAGTCTCAGCCGATCGGACACCCCAATAACATATTCCTCATGGATAGGAAGCCTGGAAAAGGCCATTACGCCTGTATTTATGAACCAGCATGTTGAGGAAATGGACCCTGGAATAACACGGTACAGTCTGGTCACAATTATATCACCAAGGGATTTTCAGCTTCAGATGCTAAATATACATGATATTAGATAAGCCCTAAGGCCCTGTCACACATAGACGATTATGGCCTCCTGAACACTAGCCGAACAAGAACTCCAACCATGGTCGGGAGTAGGTCGGGAGTAGGTCGGGAGTAGGTCGGGAGTAGGTCGGGAGTAGGTCGGGAGTAGGTCAGGAGCAACTTCGGCTGTAGTTGGCTGTTAGTTTTTTTTAGTGGTTGGCTACTGTTCGGCTGATCCAACCGAGTGTTTCAAGTTCAACATGTTCAAAACTTTCTGGATTGGGTGAGAGATTGGAAATGGTTGGGGAAAGGTTGACTAATGATTGGGAGTAGGTACGCAGTAGTCGTGCTTGACAGTCAAATTTGACTCAAATTTGATTCCGAAAGAAAGCCGCGGCCGGAATCTTGTAAGACTGCTCCCAACCTTGGTTGGTGGTCGGGGGGAAGTTCTGAATGTGTGACGGATATAATTGTAGATTCTGTGTGTGGGCGACGACGCAAATCCACTTCGTCTGGGATAGCATTTATCATCGGTCTCCTTCCGTCTCAGTACACATTAATGCCATTTATACAGTCGCAAGACCCTGCAGACTTGACTGGCTAAAACCATTTCACGCACTACCTACTTTTTTGCAGCGACAAATTGTTGCATTCATCACAAATTTCTAACTCGCATATATTTGTGTCTGGGCAGACTAATAGAACGTAGATTTACGAATGTATAAAGGATCACTGTTGAATATCTTCAACATCTTGATGCAATTTCAAAACCAAGTTATGTATCAGCGACGCTTTAAGCCCTGTTTGACTGATTGCATTTCTGAGCAGGCGTCACCATTTGTCAAATCGGATCATAGATGTTTTTTTTTTTATTTGATGTTTTATCTCAGCGTGTCTACCTATCTAGTTGAGTAATCACATTTCCTCACGGCAGATACGGACGTCAGCAAAAACGTCAGCAAAAACGACTTTTGATGGATCTGTCTGAGCGCCTCTAGCTCAGATTCACTAGTTGATTCTCCGTGAAGCAAATGAAGACATCTGTATTCACCACGTGTTCGCGATCTTCGGCATTACCATTGATATTAACCTTGCCTGAACCTGGTCTCCCCTTTGCCAAGTTTCGCAGGGAAGTGGGTGCTAAAGCGCATAGGTACATGCCATCTATTCGTTTGACTCTTTACGGAAAGTCCCTGTCACACATTCAGAAACTTTCCACGACCATAAACTAACCAATGTTGATGAAGTTTGGGAACAGTCTGTCAGTGACCAGATTTAAGGGGACCCGCAAGCTCTTTTCCGTAGAGCGTAATCGGTCGTTTTAATTCTACTTAGAGCGTAGACGGACCACTCTAATTCAACGTAGAGCGTAATTGGTGCATTTTGCGTAGAGCGTAATTCGCCGTTTTAATTCTACGTAATGCGTTGTGGCCACTTGGAAATTATCGTAAGGCGTAATCGAGAAGTTTCCAAATTCTACATAGAGCGTTGTCGGGACCACCCTTGCAGGCCCCCATTTAAGCCACGCTTGAAAAAAAAACCATCATCTGGACCCCAATACACCAAAAAGATCAAGCACATCCGTCCAACCTTTTTAATTGCGTGAGTTACAGCTGCGAACACACGGAAGATCAAAACAATACCTTCGCGCGAAAGGATATTTCCTTCCCCGAAGGTGATTATACATGTATGCCACCCCCACCTACCTTCATCATCCGCGGAAATTACACTTACACACAAGCTATGGTTGTCTGGTACAGGCTTATCTCATTCTTACAGACAACTTACCATTTATTGTACAATATATTCCCTTCCCATCACACGTCATGTATGATATTTTGACTATTTTATCCCCTATCTACTTTCCAAACGTCCTCCCAGCTGTGTGTGGAAGGCCTATATACATGTCTCTGTGGATTTGAAAATGCATTTAACATTGACAACGTCGTAGTAGTGGTAGTTTTAACTGGTTGTTTTGATTTAACGTATTCTTCCAGAAGCCAAGATACCAAGCGTACATTGCATGTCGAGAGTCAAATCCGGTTTGTTATCTGACTTGGTAAGATGTACCGTTCCATTAAGCGTAAGGTAAGTTCGTACCATCCCAAGTTCCGTCCTATCTCTCCACGAGATAGTATCACTCCCACGCATGTACGTTTGCATTTAGTGAAGACCCACTCAACATAATTTTATAATGCAGTGGTCCTAGGCAAGCAGAACAGACGTCAGCATATAAAGTGTTCGCGTATACATAAGGATGATATCCCGTGTGTAGGTGCCACATAGAAGTGTTTGAAGAGTAAACGTCTTCCTGATGCAGTTTTCACGAAACAGGTATCAGGTGCCGTGTATGCACATTACGGTGTGGGTACATGTACATGCTACCCTAGTCTGGAAGCCAGACCATCGTAGGCTCCCCGGTATCTCCACGGTGCTGGTAGCACTGCCCGTGCGCCCAGGTTTATAAGCGCACGACCTGGCCGATTTTTTTTACCGGATCCGTTCCAATAAGTTCACCTGCAGTCTACAGGACGGCAAAAACTGGCAAGGCCGACTGGATAGATCTAGCGTGTCAGGAGAGGCTTAATATGTTTTGGAAGGCCGGTAAAACACGCCTAAGTCGACCTAAGGACAATGGTAGCCAGGCTAGTGCTACTACCCTCGTTGGTGCTACCCAGTCTTCCCTATGGTGGTAAAGGCGCCGGCATTGCAGTGTGCCACACGGCACTCTAGAGGACTGATAAGCTAACTCTCCCACAACTGCTACCAAGAAGCATTTCAAACCACTATTCTACTGAAGCTCGAGAAAAGGCCTCTGCATCATCTATTGGTAAGTACTTTTTTCATGTCTACGATGAAAACTGTATTTTTCTATTGTGTTGGTTTTAGTTATGCTTGGAGTCACTAAGTCCTGCCTAGATCTTTAAGCTTTAAGTGAGTACAAGAAGGGCAAATAGATCCCACCAAAAAGGCGACAACAAAGAAAAACATGACATGACAAAGAGGATGTTAAGGTTGATATCAAAACCCTTGGCAAAGTGAAAAGGGACGAAAGTAGTCTGATCTGCAATTATAGACAGTCGATGCATACTGGTTACAGATAGATCATCGTAGCCTCTACCAAGCTTCGGGAGGCGACTGGAAAGAGTAAAAATTGGCCAAATAGAGAGATAACATGCTGAGGGAGTTGGTTTGGGTGCGGCAAAATGTACTCTTTAGCGAACCAACTATGTCTCAATTTTGCTAATTTCTACTCTTTCCAGCTGCCTCCCAAAGCCATCTGGGTTAAGAAAGCTTTGATGCTCCAGCCCTACAGATGAAGGTTTTGTACAGTCGTCATTCGTTCATCCCCGTTAGGCTTTCTGTAGAGTAACAGGTTAGACTACAGGTCCGCGTTCAACATGTATAATCTACCGCTGGCACACAAGTTGGAAGTTGTCCAACTCCCGTCAGTGGAGCGTGGCAGGGCTTACCTTACCGTACACAACAAGGGTTATCTAATATCTCGCCGTCAAACTAAGCTATCCATCACTTCTGGGAGACACAAGAGGTCTTGCAGAAAAACACCCTGGGGATGCAATTTCCTCCAAGGTTACAGAGAATGCAGTTTATATTCATCATTTCTTTCGTCCCTCGTCTGATTGATACGAAAACCTTGTTGGGGTCAATCGACCGCCAAGGCGGGGGTTCTTCTTCAGCCAATTAAGTTTAATTATCTCTGTTCGTTAGAATTGGCCTATTAGTTTTTGTGGATGGGAACAGTCTGTTCGCATAAATGTCAAGCATTGCAGAATGGTGTTCTGGTAAGCGTTTCAGGGATATATGATTGATAGAAATACTCAACGGCACAAGGTCTCTATATTCCTCCCACTGCATATCGCCCTGGAGGCACAGGCATTGATAAGTCATAAATCGATGTTTGATTTTGCCATTTGGGACCACGAACGTATGGGATCTCTTCAAGGTGGACGGGTATCCGAAAAAAATCTTTATCCCTTACGAGCTACTATAGTATCACTTGGAATAGTCAATGTGATTGCTAGGCTAGCAATCACTAGATAAAGGCTGTATTGTACTTAACGCTGCATTTATACTAGTTAGTTTACACTTTTACCTGATGGGTTATTCAAAGCCATGCGGAATACAAGTTGCAGAAAAACCACACAGTCACACAAAAAATGAAACAAATGTGTACGGATGTTGCCTTCGTTTCTGGTAAGTATTTGATAAGGGTTTCCTTCAGTTTATCGTAAACTTTGACCTGGTAAAAGTTTGGCTTGACTTGCAGTGATTTGCAAAGCCACACGGAAATACTAGTATCGGAGAATCCACACAGAAGTAAAAACAAATGTGTACAGATGTTGCTTTCGTTTCTGGTAGGTATTTGATAAGGGTTTCCTTCAGTTTATCCTAAACTTTGACCTGTTAAAAGTTTGGCTTGACTTGAAGTGATATGCAAAGCCACACGGAAATACTAGTATCAGAGAATCCGCACAGAAATAAAAAAAAATACATGTATGTGCGGATGTTGCTTTCCTTTCTGGTAGGCATCTGAGAAGGGTTTACCCTAAACGTTGACCTATTAAAAGTTTGGCTTGAGTTCAAGTAATATGCAAAGTCACATAGAAAAGCAAAATGTATGTACGTGGACGTGGTTTCGTTATTGCTTATTCAACAAAATCTGACCTTATCTGTGGGGAGAAGATTGTTATTCTGCCGACCGTTTCCAGCTGACCTGAGCCGGGTGAAACTCGTACTTTGACGGGTAAGGCATGGTTATAATCTCCGGGATTTATTAACGTGTCAGCAGGCGTACCTTAGAGCCTTTACTTGGCGTTCAAATCTGCAGTTCAAGGATATATAGGCGTTGTCAACCGTAATGCCAAATCCTTGGATATGAAGATCAAGACGTGAGCAACACTTGCATAGCTTGCAGCTAACAAAACACTTTGGAGACGACCTTACGAAGGGGTTACAACAGTGGGAAGAGAAACTGAGACTTACCTTGGACTGAGACATTTAAAACGTAAAATACCTTTTGTACAGATTTTGTAATGCGAAATCCTTGGATATGAAGATCAACACATGAGAGATACTTGGCTTGCAGCAAACAAAACACTTTGGGGTGCTTTGGGGACAAGACCTTACGAAGGGGTTAGAACAGTGGGAGGCATGTCTGAGTTTAGACATGCCTCGGACTGAAACATGTAAAACGTTAAAAACAATCGTAAAGTACCTTGTGTGTAGATTTTGTACATAGTCCTTTGAGACATACGATTGCCTACTGGCCACAGACCACCATTTCCAGCCCCCATTGGAATATACGGTAAACATCTAAGAACCGAGCTGTCAACAATCACCTACTTAAGTGTACAACTATTGCAAACGCATGTTGACAGGTTGATCCACCTCTAAATTGTCCACTTAGTCCAAAAAATTTCATTTTTTAATCAGTGGAAATAGTACGATAGATGAAAACACTGAGATCATGACCTCCCCCCTGTACACCTCCCAAAAAACAACACGTAATTATTTTTAGACCTCTACCAGGCAGCTAAACAAGACTGAAAATCATTTTTTCCCAAGAAAATAGAAAGAGAAATAACTCTCTAGCTGGAAAATGCCAGCATTTATCCACACATTCCAAGAAAAAGGCTGCTTTAAGTTGGTTTAAAAGCACTCACTCACAGGTACTCAAAATGGGCCTTCTGCGCCTCCGGAAAATGGTGACTTTTTCCCTACCAGGAAACTTGCACATATGCGATGGCATGGTGAATAAAAAAACGTGTATTTATACAGTTGAAACTTTTTGATGAGTCGATGAAAAACCCTCATAACCCACTTTAACCCCTTTTAACCCTCCATATTTTAGCGTGGCCAGGTCTACGCCAGCGAAATGCCCTGCTGAACTCCCGTCTATAGAGTAGCGCTAAATCTAAATTCTCGTGCGTCAGAAGTCGGAGCTAAAGGTCTGTGCTGGTGCACTCCGAAGCCGGGCTAAGCCCGTGAAAGGATTTGAAGCAGCGCTGCCCTTCAGGAAGATGAACACACAATCCTGTAACTCCCGAAAGTAGTCTAACAACTTGTTCTTGTAGGTGATATCAAGATCACCACCAGAGGACACCAAAGCACCGACAGCCGCATTGTGGTTTCTTAACCTTGCGGTTAACTTAGATGACTATGTAAAAAGTCGCGGATTGGAAACAGTATATTACACGGATTTTCTCCCTCTCTATACAGGAGAAAATGAGTACCTAGCCTGCAATTTTCCGATAGAATTCACACTCACAGATCCCCACCAATTGTGAAAATTCACTTACGATCCTATCATTAAAACCCTTTTTCGAACAAGCACCGCTGAAAAGTTGATTCTAAATGAATCCAAAGAAATTCAATTAAAGATTCTGAATGAATCCAAAGACATTCAATTTAAGAAATCCAAAATTGACCAGCAGCATAATCGTCGGACGCCTGTAGTTCGTTTTCTGTTAAGGCTATATACATACACACTTTAACGGCCCGCATTACAGTTTCTGTATATTCCATTAAGGGTTTATGCAGCGGAAAGTGGAGGAACATCTCCCAGCCTGCGTATAAATCCAGTATCTAATGCCCTGTAAATATTGAACGGTGTTGGAGTCTGGGGGCAGGTGCCTACATAAAAGCCATCCCGGTGGAACGCCTACATACGTAAGGATCATGCTTCTTGTCTGCTGTGATAGGGGCTCAAGCTGCGCTTTGGAAACGGCCGTTCAGTCTGATGGCGAAGGATATTGTTTTGCACAGGTAGAGAAGCAGCTCAAGGCTACGGTTGTGAAATCGGACAGCTAGTCGGCGCAAAGTGATAATGTAAGAAAATGCGCGAATTGTTGAAAAACTAAACGTAAAACCTATTCATGGACATATATGCACACACGCTCACAAGCACACACGCACACAAATAAACAAACACATGAACACACAGGAAAATACACACACGCTCAGCATTACAGAAACACACGCACACAAACACACATATACATGCGCGCACACACACATAAACGAACAGATTTAGATTCAACAACCGTATATGCCCTAACTCCAAGACCACCCCAAGGTGACCAGACAGCCCATTCATGCCATTTAATGCCATTCTTTCAGAATTGTTTTTGATTCGCTTAAATGTCGCAGCTACAAATATATCAATTTTAAAGATTATGAATGATTGAAAAATGTTTCTAAAATGTACATATACTGCGAATTTTAGTATTTGAAGTTAGAATGTTGTAAGTAATAATTTTAATTTAACGTAATTTTCGAAATGTAATAAGATAGTCTAACTTGGCAATTGTAACGTGCTCGCTACTTGTGTACAGACCTCACAATTCAGCCGTGAGGCTGCGATGGGTTTTGGTTTTCAATAAACAAATAATGCAGAATTCAGCCAGAAAAATAGTAGGTCTTGGCCGAATGAAAGGTTGTATAATTGTTGATGAATCGCTATCTTGTTGTAAATCCTCCATGCTTCGCTCCGTGCCTGTGAATCGCCGTGCGCACCAGTGCACACCACTGCGGGATTACTCGTCCATTACATGGCCGATGGGAAGGACTTTTTACGGTTTAACGATTCGTCTCACTAATGTGCCGTTGCCATTTAAAGCCCGCTTGTAATGATTTCATTGAGCTTTCTCTCACTAGTGAATCGTATTGATTGGAATGTGAGATATGATACTACTTCAAGAGTACTTGCTAAACAATAAGGATAAAGATCTAACTGCCTCTAAAATCATGACTTGTCAAGAACACGAGATATGAAAACCGAACGTTCCGCTGCAGTACCATAAAAAGTCACCAGGAGACCCTTAATCATACCTGTCCTTTGTGGTGCTCACATCTGTCCACATAACAAAATTTCACATGATCCTGTCACAGATTCTAGAGTTATACTGCTCACCTGTGAAACCACAAACCATAAGCGGCAACTAAAACACAATCGTCTTCCACTTATAACAAAAAAAAAATTCTTAAAAGCAAACTCAGTATGTATAGAGTATATGCACACACCGAACTTGCAACATTTTCCATACAACACTCACACGAATCATAGTAAAACTCCGCTATTTTAGATAACCGTACAACATTCCTGCCATGGACGTAACTTGAACTATTTGAAATGACCGGACAATGTCCCTACCGTACCCGCAACTTTAAATTACAGTATTGACCTTTGTATGAATCTACCCCTCCATGCGTCACGAACCAAAGCCACTGCTCGCGCCAGACTCCCAGATCATTTCCCACGATAGACCGTGATCATTTCCCATGAGTTACAGTCGTCTACTCACCAACCCTTTCCCATCCGTCATGTACTTGTAAATCTTGACCTAAAACATGCCAGAATTCCCCCATACTCACCCAGGCATACCAACTCGTGGCATTGGGCCCACCTTATTATAAGACGTGTCTAGTACTTCGTTGGAAAGATTGACAAACTCTAAGTATGGTCTGACTCTGCAGGTTGCTAACCCCTTTTTAAAAACCCAGTTCAAGAATAACCCTGAGTAAACCCTGTCGGTATCAACTTTGCAACAGTCGCAAAATTTGCAAACTGACTGCTTTCAGTTTTCCTGGGGCTTTTGCCAAAGGATGTTGTTATGAATAATGTGTGGACATAAATGAAATTGCAGGCTACGGCAGGGGATTGTACCAACGTGAAGTGGTGGTCTTGACCTTTCGAGGAAATCAAGTTGACTTTTGAATCTTTGATGATTGCTATACATGTGTATGACTTCTTTGGTAGAGCATCGCAGCAACTCTACGAACCCAAGTTACAGTATGAAAAGAGTTCTCTCAATCTGTCTTGTTCAGCCAGCTTTACCAGACATCAGCTGCAGGTGATATTACATTGAACAACCTGCCACACCTTATATTTCAACTTCAAGTGTTGTTTAAACTCATCAAGTGAAGATATAGCTCAACTGTGTGAGGTGACGAGTTCTAGCGAAAACGAGTACCTCGATATATTGAGTTAGCACTTCTGATGTACGTAACCAGGCTTCTTGGTTCATTCTGTACTAGACGCAGTTACCTTTTAGGGTAAAGGTCTAAGGCATCACAAACAAGACATGTATCTTCAGTCCCATAGGTAGGAAAATGAGCAATTGGCAGTCGTAATGTCAGAGTCTCGTTATACCGTGTTTTGATGTCCCCAGTTCATCACCAGTATTCAGCTGCGTGATGCTTCTGGCAGACGTCCAGACAAAGTCACGTTCCCATCGGTCACTGGGATATTAGTCTACTTTGACATTTCCAAGAGACAAGCAATGGATAATGTACTTATGAATATATATTGCCGAACTTTGCGAAGTTCAAATAACCGTGTTAAAGCCAGGTACATCTTGGAGTAGAGAGGTAGCATGTAGCTGCTGACGCCTACTTTAAGGGAGGCGGGTCACATGAAATATGCTTCATTCTTGAACCTGGCGGGGTGGCAGCAAGAATTGCCTCGGACCCTCATGAAGTATCCATTTCAATCACCTCCTTATCCGGGAGGACCAGCATCTTATCGACTTTTCAGGTGTAAAACCTGACATGAAGGTGGCATAAAACCCATACTGCACCTATTACGAGAAGATATGAAAGTGCGAAGGATTTATAATGGTAATATTGGATGAATAAGCTTACTTTGAACTTTATGCCGTTGACCGAGGTCTTTTCGTAAAGCGTTGCCACTAAGAGCCGTTTTCGGAAACTAATTGGAAATGTGCATGTAATCTTGCAGAGATCTTGCCGTAAGCTATGGTAGTTAAATGCAACCTTTCAAGAAAAATGAACTGACAAGAAGGGTGCCAAGAGAAATAACCCCCACGTCCAAGCGCGTTTATCAACGGATTATCGAAGAGTGTGTTGCCGGTGAACTGGCATTATGGAGTCTAAGCTTCATGCGTCTTGCGAACCGTGCGCTTATCAAAGCTGGCAAAGAAGAATAACACCCAGTCCACACCTATATCAAGTTATATTGATCCCTTAGGTTGCTTCGTCAGTCACCGAAATCTAAATTGATGCCCGTGCAACTTTTTCTACGTTTTCGTCATCGTATCATTCTTGACATATACAGGTCGTCTGGCAGAATCCGGTGTGAAGACCTGTGGCATCATGGAGAACGTGAGTAACCTGTCCCAGCCCCTTAATGCTCTTGCAACTTTTTCTAAGTATTTTTCGTTATCGTTCTTGACATACAGGTTGTGTGGTAGAATCCGGTTGGAAGACCTGCATCATGGAGAACGCCAGTAACTTGTCCCAGCCCATGACTGCAGACGAGCTGTACGAAGACTTCGCCCCCAACATGACTGGCTGCTTCTTGTTGTACGAAGACCTCCTCCCCAACACGACCGGCTGCTTCCCTCCCCAAGACTCAGACGGAGAGGTCCTGTGGGCGAAGATCTTCCTCTGCACGGTGTACTCCATCACCATGTTGACGTGCGGCGTCGGCAATCTCCTGCTCATGGTGGTCATAGCGAAGTACAAGGAGATGCGGACCTTGACCAACGCCCTGGTGGCCAACCTGGCGCTGTCTGACTTCCTCGTGGCGGTGTTCTGCGTGCCGTTTATCCTAGACTACCACATCGTCAGGCCCAACCGGCTCTGGACGTACGGCGACGTCACCTGCGCTGTCGTCAACTACGCCCGGATGTCGTCCCTCTACGTCTCAACCAACGCGCTCTTGGTCATTGCCGTCGACAGGTCAGTCGTAAATATACTTCTACTTTTAGCAATGATTTTCTTTAGATTAATGAATGATTGTGCCGTAGTGTATGTTCAGTCAGAGAAGCTTTTAGACGGCATCCACCATCTTTCATCAGCTCATGAAAAGTGGTCGCAAAACTTTCATGTTAGTCACACATGACGACGGTGTTGTAGATGGGGACTGTTGTCGTAGCTTCTAAGACATCGCTTAAACCATATGGAAGATCTTTGAATGAAACATTCTCTCAGTATCACTTGGTGACACTAAGATGATCATGCTACACTACCAACCAAAGAGGATGGTGATAGCAGAATACCAGTGGGATGCAAAGCCTAATAGTGAACTGAAAGTAAGTCTGATAAAGTTCAAGTTCAGACTTTTAGTTCACTGCACTCTGCATTGCCTTTGAATCAGTTATCGCAGTAAAGGGGGCTTCGATCTAAAAGGTCGGTCTTTAGATTTCTTAGCCTATCTTCTGGCGGAGTGCTTCTATGGGTTTTAGACGATTTATGGGAGTTGAAGCTCATACCTATTGCGATGACCAACATTGCGAAGAGTAATGCCACCAAAGTAGAGTCTGCTGGTAATCAACGATTGGCTCCTAGCGTTCGAGTTTGACCTACAGGGCACACCGCATTTGGATGGAGTGGCTATTATCCTGTAAACCGTGATGTATACACTATATCTCCACGAGAGGATCACACTAACGTGCCCCTGGTCATGTTCACCCCACAAGGTTATCAGCCATGCCCAGCTCTATATTACACTAACTGTAAATAGGCACTGCTCAGTAGCCTGATGTAAGGCCACGGTTTCACTCACAAATCAACCAAGATAAAAACCTTTGACACTTTGTGTGCGCTGGATTGCAAGTCACACGAAAATGCCCACCTGGGGCGGGTTCATGTGCAGTGAAAGCGCTGTGTAACGGAACAGTCAGATCGCGCCCTGGAGGGAAGGATTACGTTGATCCATCAGCACGTAATGCTTCAGGCTTATCAGGTACGACAGGCACGGTCTGCTTTGTAGGCGAAATTGAAGAATAGATGGAACTTTTAGTCATGGCCTTGGGAACAGTTAAGTTTACTCCAGGATTTATGTAAGTGTATGGGGCTTGGGTAATGACTTAACTCCCAGCGCTTTTATGAGACTAAGTGCTCAAGGTAAGAAGCCTTTTAGGGAAACATCTCCTCAGCATTCTGACCTGTTATCACACCCTACAGTCTGGCTTAAAGAAAACTGCAGTGACTCCTCAACAAAGTGGTCGTTAGGAAGTTCTAATGGGAAGTCTGGATATCATATCTAAGCAATATATATACATGCTCTAAGGGAATGTGACAAAGAGGGATGTCACATAAGGTAGTCGTGTCATTAATAAAGCAATCATCAGAATTCTCCAGAGCCTATTATATCACCGCACAACACCTGCTTTGTACGTACTAAGTACTATTAGATGAATTGATAGCTCAGTGTTGGAGGTCTAGTATTAACAAATCATAGGAAGGATAAACTATAATGTAGTGACGTACATGCATAGCGTTGGCCCTAGCTGTTTCTTAGCCGCGCGCGCTGGACGAGTTTAGGTGTGTAATCCTTACCAACTCACAGGCGACGCTGTCTAAACGAAACTGCGATCATAAATACTACTTTAATCCACTTTCCATATGTAATAAAACTTACCTCATTTTGCAATATGAGAATGACTTGCAGTCTTGCTTGACTTCTGTCTATTGCCAGCTCTTGATCATCCACTTGAACCAGTGTGGTAGTCCAGACGCATCTGTGAAGTAAATGAAGATGATAATACCATAAGACAACGTTAAAATAACCGGCACATGTACTGTATACACGTATATCTACAAGGCTGCTTTGCTTCTGTGTTGTACCAGGTACGTGGTGATCATGATGCCGCACATCCCACGGATGAGTCGCGCGGTTGCCGCGTGTGTGGTGATGGCGGTGTGGGTGTGCTCCATGTTGTTGGCCATCCCCACAGCCGTGTACTCACGCGCGCTCTACTACGTCGACTTCCACGGTACATTCTGCGGACTCGTCTGGCCAATTGGCCATCAAGTCAGGTTTGTCTTTTCCTTAGTAAAAGGCAACTAACAGGAGATGATAGGTAGTATATAGTGTTGTAGTTGTCATATATAGACTCCTAGCACTTTGCATTAGAATATAGCGTTCCAGTATGCAATACTCATGTTTTTTATCCTCTTGTGCATTTAGCCCATCTGGGCAAGAACATGCACTAAAGATTCATATCATATCATATCGTATAACCAGTAAACCTTATCTAGGCGTAACACACGAGTTTTCTATAGAAGGCACAGTATGTAAGAACGGGCTGTAAGGGTTGAAGTAATACACCAACTCTACTTCCCTAATCAGGTTTTGTCTTTTCCTTCGCATAACCAGTAAACCTTATTTAGGCGTAACACACTAATTTTGTATAGAAGGCACACGATGAGTATGAAAGAACGGGCTGTAAGGATCGAGCCAATACAGCAACTCTACTTCCCTAGTGTATGCCAAGTTCAAACATTAAAGACCTGGGCATTAGTAATATTCAATCTGAGCTAGTCCTAGTCATTTCCATGACAATTAATGAGGACTATATCAACTTGACACAGAGTAGACTGCGTCTGACTGACACTATACAAAGTACCGATAAGAGGCCCTCATTCCGTTCAGAGAGATGGGAGCCAAGTTCCAGTGTTGCATTTGTCCCATCAGGATTCATAAATCCTAAAAATAGCAATCCCTTGAAGCATCCTCATAAAGTCGAAAACATGATTTTAATTGGAACCAGGGGGGCAATTTTCCGATTTCCGAGAGTCATAAATCCAATCAAGCTGTAGCAACATGAACTGATTGCACTTAAGTATGCCCTCAGGACTACTGCTTACCAGCCCAAGGACACATTTATGCCAACCTTGAACAGAACGTTTTGCCAGATTAGATTGGTTAAGAAGTAAACGAAACAGCAGGTATTACCGGAAAGATAAGCTTTGGTGCAGGTAATGAATCAGTTATTTTATGGTTCCTTTTCTAACATAGATACAAAGCTTACTACTTGGCTGTTCTCCTGTTGGAGTTCATCGTCCCTGTCCTGATTATGTCGTTCTGCTACATACGGATAGCTCGCCGGATCTGGTGAGTGGGGATGACTACAGGTTACAACTTTAAAACAAAAACTATTCAACTATACATTGTGATTCTACCTTGACGCGTTTGAAAATTGTTTTGCTTGCTCTACAAGTCGTCAGTCTTGAATTTGATTATTTACGCCTGGCAGTGTGGATGTATATTAGGCTATGATGATACTACATGTCTATGGCTTGATCTTTAAAAATTTTGTCTGAAAATGTGTTCAGCAAAATATAACCATCAGCCTGCTAAGGTAGCCGCTTGGCACCAATTTTGATTGATCATGGGGTTGGTCATTGGGTCATGCAGCAGGGATATGGTTAAATAAAGTGTTCTTCACGTCTCGTCAGGTACCGAACCGTCCCCGGTCAGCAGACTGAGTCCCAGCAGGCCGCCATGCTGAAGTCTAAGAAGAGAAACGTTCGACTGCTCATCGTCATTCTGGTAAGGACTGTTGCATCCAGAACCGTGCTTCATCCAGAACCGTGTCTCATCCAAAACCGTGCCTCATTCAAAACCGTGCCTCATCCAGAACCATGATCAGGCACGGTTCTGGACAGTCCACGCTCTGGGGCAAATACGCGGATACTATCCCGAACCGGCTCTGATCTTGACACTAACCCTTTCAGGCATATAATTAGACAGAGATCTTTAACATGAGGCTGTTGTCAGTCTAGCTGTATAGTTCAAACAAGTACCTTCTCATCGAAACACTATATCTCATCTAGTGCTAGTCGATGGCGCCAGATGAGTGATATAGGTTGATGAGTTCGACTGAATATATGGTATTTTGTGTTGATTTTTAAGTTTAAATTCTACAACTATATCTTCATCCTTTCAGGTGATGTTTGTCCTGTGTTGGGGACCGTACTACGGCTATGCTGTGGTGAGAGACTTTTTCCCGCGTCTGCTGGCCAAATCACGACTCAACATCACCCTGCACTACATCGTGGAAGCGGTCGCTATGGGCAACAGGTACTTATATACATGGGACAACTAGTATATACACTTTTGTTCGCAACTGGATGAATTCTTTGAGATGACAAATAGCATCTGCTACCTTTCCCTTGTGACTAAGAATGATCTGGACTTGTTCCAAAATTATCTGAAACGTAACACACCAGCTTCGCACGCACGCGGCGCGGCGGCAGCTGGCTACATTTACACCAATCGACTTGTTCCACCTAACCCTGTCTATCTACTACACTAACTGTTCATTTCTCAGCTCCATTGACACCGTGGTGTACATCGCCATGAACGCCAACGTGAGGAAGTTCATGAAGAAGCTGCCGCACGACTGCTACACGTCCTACATGCAGTGGAAGAACCGCCGGGTCCAACCCGTCGGTCACTCGGGCGCAGGAGGCAGACGCCCCGCCGCGAGACGCTCCTCCACCCGGTCAGACAACACCTTCCCGCCGTCTAACTACTCCAACTACAGGACCCGCGATGTGAAGGAAGTCTTCTGCATAGAAGACAGAGTGGCACAAAGATCATAATAGGATCCTTATACCGGTATATTGGTGGGTAAGGTTTGGTTTTGGTTGATTGATTGATTGATTGGTTGGTTGGTTGGTTGGTTGGTTGGTTGGTTGGTTGGTTGGTTGGTTGGTTGGTTGGTTGGTTGGTTGGTTGGTTGGTTGGTTAGGATCTCCATTAGTGTGCTAATCAACACTATTCTTCCTGGAGTCCTGATAATGATGTAAATCACCGTGTGGTTAACGACGAGAGTTTGCCAGGCCTTTATCCAGGTGACTTGAAGTAAATCACCAAATAAAAGTCCAGCCTTTTTCGAAAGGCGTGGAGGGCTCTTTAACATAAGTAGAGTGTGGCTCTACCCAAAACCAGAACCTCCATATTTAATGTGCTGTCCGAGGGGCGTTATGCCGAAAGACGAAGGTTAGTGTTAGTAGCTGGGTACAGGGCGTGAAGGCATTGCCAAGATGTACATAATGAATATCACTTACAGGATTACAAAGTACGCAAGAAGATAGAAAGCTTGACTTATTATATATCTATTCTTACAAGAGAATAAAGATAATGGCAAATGGTTTTATTGAAGATAGACACACACACACACACACACACACACTCTCACACACACACACACTCCAACAAACACACGTGAACGTGAACGCACGCGTACCTGTATATATATACAAAGTGTACATATATCTGTATCATTCTACCTACCTACATGCCTATCTATTCATGAAATCTATTAGTATATATCTATCATATAGTATCAATCTAACAGTATCTATCCAGGTATCCATTTATCAAATGAAACGATAAATATGGATGTAACCTATAGAGAGTACAAGTGTTTTGTCTTCGGTTTATAAATGAACCAGAAACTGCATATCAACGAATATGCACCTGTCAACGAAAAGGTCTCTTCATGTCCGTATTTTCAGTACCGTGACGTTTAACATTAATCTTTAATGTAGAGCCACGCTTGTAGTTGACAATATATACGACTGTGCGGGAAATTAGAAAAACATTACAAAGAATGTATCAATGGTAATGAAGGCCGTCTGTACAAAGCTGTATATCTCGCTGTAGTACTATAAGGTCACCTATACGTCTTGTCTGTAGAATGTATGGTTTCAAGTTGTGCCAAAATTCCTGCTAGCAAGCTATCAAGATTTCATGAATATTGACCAGACCTATGAATGTACTTGTAAAGTGGTGTTAAGGGCCAACTCGTGATGTCAAAGATATGTAGTTTGAAATAAAAGTAATAATTGTGAATTGTAATTTGATAATTACTTATATTATCTATGGTACGTACGTGTTATTATAATGGAGTACTGCTTCACATATCTGACAGACATAGAAACGTAAGAAGGTGAGAAACACTAGCGGTTGTGTAAGAAGAAAATCCCTACATCCTATGCCTGATGGAATTATATTCGGAATATGTCAAAGCATGTTAAGGCCTTAGAAGATTAGCATAAGTGATATGTCAATGTCAACATGTTGATTTATTCATATACTTGTACGTACATAAGTTAATTCATCAGTATTCCCTTGCTTGTATGTTTAGTAGTACATATAGTCTAGACCGTACTTTTGATGTGTCAATGAAGATTGTATCATACATGTCCGCATGACGCCACTTCTTCATCATCAGTCTCTCAGTCATGGTAAGATGAACGATTCTCCTTAATCATTGTGGCGTGAAGCATGTATCTTACAGGCGCATCTGATGGCACGATAGATTTATCAACGTTTCGTGGACGCCACGAGTTTAAATGGTTCACCTTTAACAATGACATTGATTAAACCAAATTGCAAAGTATACCGTACATGTCAAAGCTCATCAGAATTCAGGATGTTAATCTCGGATCACTCAAACTAAAGGAAACTTCTTACTCTTAGAGAACGATTTAAGGATTATGAAACTAAGCAGTTTCACAAGACAGACGAATTTGTCCTTAAGCTATGCGAACGCAACAAGATAGGAATACACAAAGGAAATCACAAAGCTCAAGATCAGATAAAGTTATTGGTTTTGGTGTGCTGTCTGCACGGATGGTTATCCTGTAACCGTGACACCTCTTCTATACGGGACGTCAGCAACCACTGGGACTGAACTAGGCCTACGGTAAAGGCGTGGAAAACTAATATTAGATAACTTTTCATCCGTTCTCGGCCAATATCAAATACACAGCAACGTCCACTATAAGTATAAGGCAACGTGAAATTTGTGGACTAGGAGTATTTTTACTGCACGGAATGCATTAGCTATAGCTGCACCCAAACTAATCGATAAAGAAGAAAAGAGAAAGGTGATATCTGGGGATTACCCATCGCCATACCCTGGCCTTTACATGTATGGATTACTGTCACAGATACATTGTCATCGGACAGAACAGTGCAGCAGTTCAATCGAAACCAGTAATGACCATCCTGTAAAGGCCATCCTGGATGATGAGTATTATGATAAACGGCCACGTTCAACGGCAAGCAAAATGTTCTCTCATCTATTACAGTAGTATATAGGCTATATAGTCTCATATATGTCTTAAAAGAGGGGTAGGGATGATGAACATCTATTACAATAGTATATATGGTCTCATATCTTATGTCTTGAAAGAGGGGTAGGGATGATGAACATCTATTACATACAGTGGAACGAAAGAATGTCTAGAAAGCAGGATCTACGAGGTAAACGATTAAACCTTGAAAATGTCATCCACCTTTTATAGCCGATAAATCACACGGCTGAATAGTAGTTTTCCAGTTGACATTTGCGGGTAAATCGATGTTACGGCAAGCTGTGGCGGTGATCGGGACGGAGATTACCAGGAGAACGGTCTGACCTGTACGGCGGGGGCGTCCGTAACAAAACGTCCCGCTCGCCAAGAAATCGTTACATTTTCTAACCTATATCGATCTCACGGACACCCAGCACCTGGGATTACCAAGTTAAGAGAAACAGTTCAATATCATGACAGCATTAGACGATACAGATACTTAAGATGTACTTTAAGAGATCCTCATTTACTCGATTAATTCAGCAAATCGATCCGTTTAGGCGTGAAAAAAATGTGTGTTTCGCCAACAAAACGTTCATTTCACGAAACTAACATGTCTCAGTTTACAAGCGCACGACTGTGATGAAGTGTGATTACTACCAAGTAGGGGATCCTTTAAGTTTCACAAGTTCAACTTGAAGATGAAACAGCGGTGATGAGACGAATTGATTATCGCTCGGAGCTTTGCAATAAAGTGGCGCCAAGTTTGCGACACAAGTTCTCTTCGTGCTTCTACACTAAAAAGCCATCAACACATTTATTGATCGTCGAGCAGGCGTCACAATGGCGGGGTGAGTCCCACCTTCAGGTGTATGGTATTATTAACTAGATCAGATTAGCAGAAATGTATGGATTGACAATCTTCCGATACACGCCCAAGATTAGCTGGTGACAAATGTGTGTGTTCTAGGTCTAGTCCATGAGGGATTTTCCTGTGATTAGCGATCCTTAGATTAGCAAGTGACAAATTTGTGTTCTATGGAGAGATTTCTCAGGAGTAAACGTTCACACTGAGATGATAATGATTACGACTAGGCTCTTGAGACCATCATCCGCAGTAGACACAGATCGCTCCCCATCACTTATAACATCATTAACCATCTCCGTTAACATCTCCCAAGATTAGCTAGTGACAAATTTGTGTTCGAGGTCTAGTCCACGGTGGATTTCCCACCTGGAGTAAACGTCCACCCTGAGATGTGGATGATTTACCGAGAGGCTCTTGAGACCATGATCTGTAGTAGATACATATTCCCCCACATCTCTTCTAACATCATGAGCCATCTCAACGCACTTTCACGATCTTGATGGTGACAAGGAAGCCGATCTATTGAGTAAACATGGTGAAATCAGGCTATGGATCAGGAGGAACCTTATCCTTCTAGAAAGACTGATAAAGGAATGATCAAGGGAACCACAGTGTGTGTTTGTAAACGTGTCCGCGAGTCTTTTTTTTCATGTTGCCTAGCTCGGGCCTTGCAGTAACAGACTGTTTTGGTCTATGAGATATTTATCAGAAATTGTTCCCACCTCGTGGCGCTTGTTGATCGTGCTGATCACCAAATAAAACTTATGCGAAAAGTGTATTTTAACCTAGAAGCATGGTTGTATGCTATGGTCGATCTACAAACTCAAGTTACCAGGCAAAGGCAAAACCGAAGATTTGATGAGACCAACGATTTTAAAACAGATCATCCCTTTAACCCCCTGGACACGGCTGAATTTGAACCTGCACAAAGTTCTCTAGACAAAAGTTTTTTTTTATATCGTTTTAGGGCATTCTTAACGTAGATATACAAGAAGCCACGATGAGTCGAAGTGTTGAATCATGATTCTTAATGTCAAGAAATCAAAGCTGCAACTATCAGATTGAGTACTTGCTAAGTAACACTAAGTGCTAAGTGCGCTGTTTTGGCAAAAACATGACGACTTCATCCACTTAAAAGATCCCCAAACTTTTTCTCTAACACTCATAAATCCTGAGCAAATGCCATTATGTCCCATTAGGTAGAAACGTTATTCCCATCGAAGATTCGCTTCCAAATGTTCCATTGGCGACTGGTAGTGCTACCTGCGTCATGTGTATGACGGATTGACTCGCAGTGCAGTCAGGAAGTTTGTACGATGAATCATGATGAGTTAGTGCTCAGGGACTGTTATCTATATACAGCTACACACATTGGGGCGAGAACTTCGCTGATCGAGCAGGCATCAAATTAGATTTGACAAGCTGAATGATATTTAAGTCGACAGAGTGCGTCTCGAAAGCTCCCTAGGGTAGCAAACTTGTTGCGTGTATTGTTGAGAATACTTGTCAAAAATTACAAAGTTTCCTTGAAGTTAGAAGAAAGAAGAAAAAAGTTTGTGTTTTCACACAGCCTGCTAGATGCTGTCCCTACGGCTCCGTGAGCTACGAGATTAAGTGAGTGAGTGGAGTGAGTGAGTGAGTGAGTGAGTGGAGTGAGTGAGTGAGTGAGTGAGTGAGTGAGTGAGTGAGTGAGTGAGTGAGTGAGTGAGTGAGTGATTGAGTGAGTGAGTGAGTGAGTGAGATTGAGTGAGTGAGTGAGTGAGTGTGAGAGAGCGTCACTATATATACTTTGCACTACATTCCAATTACACGTTACATGATACATTGTACCAGGCTTTGTGACAGTACCCACGTGTACCGACAAGGCCGGTGGTGTAACGACGAAAAGAAAAAAGGCTCATACCAAAAAGGTAAAAAATGGTCCCTTTTTGACCCTGCTGGCTCAAACTCAGCGTAGACAATCACTGCCTTTCATGTGCACAACAAACATTCTGGACGTCCAGCTGCATATCCAGTAAACCTTTCGACTCTATTTCAAATTTCCGGATCAAAACGAAGCTGCTGTTGAAAGGCAATCAGTAGGAAAAATAAGAAAATCACAATGTGGCGCTAGGCCTGATCCAACCTAACCCCTCAATTCTGCCAAAACAAGAACGGGATAACCAACATCGGGAATAAAAAACAAGGTCACAGTCTGGTGGTGTAAAGGCCAAGGCCAGCACACACACACACACCGAACTACACTACTCGTGCATGCGGAGCCGCAAGTTGCTGCTGCGACCAGCGGACGGACTCACATGATATCGTAGCCTCCACCAGGCTTCGGGAGGCGGCTGGAAAGAGTAGAAATTGGCCAAATACAGAGATAACATTCCAGGGGAGTCGGTCCGCTAAACAGTACAGTTTGCCACACCCCGGCATGTTATCTCTCTATTTGGCCGATTTCCATTCTTTCCAGCCGCCTCCCTAAGCCTGGTAGAGGCTAGCGATATCGCACCAAGGCTCTCTGTAAACGGCATGTCCGGAGACAGCACGGGTTAGAGGCAATGAGGATTTTACTTATCATGTCCTCCTGACTTCACACACTTACACTTCCCTCCATTACGGTAATTGTTACAACAGTAAGAGCGTTTGAGGTTTTGATCATAATGTAGCTACCAGGGTGCTTACTGTGGCATTTTGTCCACGACTACACGACAACCAACTGTCATTCTGTATTGCATTGCCAACCCACAGAGTGAACGAAGCATTATTTTTAGACGATGACCATGCACAAGGGAAAGAGCCACACCTTCGACACGCTCTCCTATACGCCTCTAGAAAGAATGAACAAGAGGGATGGATAAAACTGTTCTAATACATGGAATCAAAATTCTATTCGTCCTTCAAATTTCGAACCATTGTTGAAACTTGGTGGTGTAAAAATCGTGATAACGTTAAAATCACAGATGTACTGGGTACCCGTAAAATCGCTTGGCAGATTTTCAAGGATACAACAGGTCAAGGTCAGACCTCATGTGACCTTTTCGTAAGCCGCCATCTTTGCCCCGAGGCATGCCGGATGTTCAACCTGAAGTATCCCGTTACAGTCGTGACTCCCTGACCTATGACGCCACCATAGTTAAAGGACCACGTGTGGAAAAACTTGAGTACTAAAGCGTAGGTGGATGACACAGAATGAGTGCATACTTACAGCTCTATAGGCCGATCGTTTTGATAGATAAGCAACATTGTCTTAGATTTGATTATTACAGATTTTGGTATTATATTGGGATCGGATGTTTAAGATTAACAAAAAAAGACAGAAAACGTCTTAAACTAGAGAGCAAGTTGGCAGAGAATAATTGCTAAGTCAGGTACTGTTCTGATGTTAAGTACATACTTGGATGGGATCCTAGTGTTAGCAATAGACGCATTTTTGAGGGTGAGCAGCAAATGACGTCTATAAGCCAAAAGCTATATCGGATCGAGATCAAGTATTAGAAAAGTATGCTACCGAATACTACCGAAGCGAAATTGCCTCTTTTCTTTTTGCAGTTTTCCTCAGAAGCTCGAGTGTGCATTTTTCATTGACAACTGCTGTGTCATGACCATGACTGACATTCCAAAATTAACGGCTGACATCATAGCCCCCCACTGTCATTTAAGGTTAACTTCTCTGTCGATATGTAAGGAATAAATGGAAGGAAACATTCCCCAACCCACGCCTTCACCAAACTTCCTCATTTTAACAATCTGACGTAAGATTTCTGCGACCAACACCCAAATCAAGCACGCCCACATAAGACGTAGGAAATGTATATATATAGATGGAAAACTGCTACCAAAAGTAAGTGTTCCGGTTTCCTTAAGACACGCATCTTAGAGACATGGCAGGGAGGAACTCCTTGGTTTTCGCCGTCGTGCTTTTTCTTCTTGTTGCGGAATCTATAGGTGCGTAGAAGTCTGAAATTCTTCTTATAACTCTTTGATTTTATCTGCACTAAATTTGTTCTGTGTAGTACATGTATTGTCCGGCAATGTTTGGACCTTGTGGAGGCTTTCACATATGATGAATTCTATCAAATGAATGCACCTTGCTTTTTTATTCCAGCGACTCGAGGATGGGCGTCAAGAAAAAGAGGGCGAAGACGATCCTCGGGTAAACACATTTAGTTTTCCTTTGTTATACAATTAAGTATTTCAGTTGTGTTTCAATTAATGGACACCTATTGGAAAACGATAAGAAAGGAGTACGTCTTTTTGTGTTGGCATTTTAATCACGTGCAAAGATAATGCCACTACACGACTGAGCAAGGCTGTTATGTCTTTAAACCGATGATTTTACATGATTATTAGTAACCTTCTGCACATTGTACAGTAATAGCATTCACAGCTGTGATACCTTTACCTTGAAAAGTTGACGGAATGCTATATTTGACCTTGAAAAGTTGACGGAATGCTATTCTTTATCAGAAGAGTCCGATGAGGAGCCCACCTACCCGCCAGGCCCCGCGGGTCCGCCAGGCCCGCCCGGGGCACCGGGACTGAGAGGGCCGCCCGGACCTAAGGGGAGCCCCGGTCAAATGGTACGTGTTACTATTTCTTACTCTCCAAGCAGAGGTTGGTGGGGGAAGATCGTAACCTTTCTATGTATGTCCCGCTTTTTTTTGGCGCTACCCCCACCAATGGTTAGTGGGGGTACGTAGCGAAAAAAAGGGACATATCTTCCCCACCAAGAGGCCTCTGCTTGGAGAGTAACTATTTCTTAAACTTCCTTTTTAATTAAGATACTGTACAACAGAATTCAGCTGACAGAACGACTGTGAAGTTTGCAGACAAAACTTGTGCAAACTTGTGTGCTCTAATGTTTTATAACCTTCAAGCTGCAAAGACAGAACCAAATCGGCCAGGCTGTATCCACTGGCCAGACAGTTACTGCCATCCACTTAGGTACAGACTGGTCACTTTGATTCTGTCTTTGCAGCCACCAAAAGATTTGCTTAGAGATTATTTGTTTGCGAAAATGTCGAATTTGTGGAAACGTCGCTATAAGTATAATTGCATGCCTCTCATGACACCCCTCTAGGGCGCAAAGGGAGAAAAGGGTCTCCAGGGACCGAAAGGTCAGCAAGGACATCCGGGGCCGCAAGGACCCATGGGAGAAAAAGGTTTGTCTAGAGGAAGACTCTACAGTCTATGACTCAACATTGCCTTAATTCTAGATCTATTCAGTGATGAGTGGTGTTTTTTTGCCCTGCTTGCTATATTACATAACTGTAAGTAATATCCATGTCATACTCGCCTCTTTTGTATGTTCGATAAATGGGGGGGGTACCTGGTGACAGTTCTAAACCTTCGTGAGAAAAGCGCGTGGTATGTTGACTCATATCTTAGACTGATATCTGTACATGTCTTAAGTACAGCTGCAGTTAAAGCTAATATTAATTTTTTTCATGCACAGTTCCCAAGAGAAATCTTACTACGTGGATGAAACGTTGTATGTTTTCTTACAGGTGACCTCGGGCCAGTGGGACCGATCGGGCCACCTGGCCTGCCTGGACCTAATGGAGCCCCTGGTCCCAAAGGCATGACAGGTGAGCAAAACTTTGTGAAGTGAAACTTCTTATGATATTGGGAGCCTAGCTTTCATCAAGCGACATCTAGCGAAATCATACTAAACTGCAACAAAGGCGATCACTCGAGCTTCTTCAAGACAAACGTGCGATTATACGATATATTTTACAACTTAACTTGCTGATGTTGTTGTTGGTGGTGGAGGGGGTCCCTACATGGTAACATGTTCACTCTTATGAAACAAGTTTGAACTGCAACATGTTCACTCTAGGTATCCAAGGCCCCCGAGGTGAAAGGGGAGTACCAGGTGAGGCGGGGCAAAGAGGACAGAAAGGCGACCCTGGTCCCGTCGGTCCAATAGGTAGGTCATATAAATTACCATGCACCTTGCGAGTATTCAAGGACAAAAAAAAAACAACAATCTGGACAGAACGAGAGCTGTGACAAAAATCACAGAGAGGATTTTTTTCCCTATAGTTTTTTCTTCTCTTTTGTTCTTTTGTAGGCCCGCCCGGAAAGACTGGACTGCCTGGGGAACCCGGCAGGAACGGCGAACCAGGTACAGTAAAAGGAGGAATGAATGGATGAATGAATGAATGAATGAATGAATGAATGAATGAATGAATGAATGAATGAATGAATGAATGAATGAATGAATGAATGAATGAATGAATGAATGAATGAATGAATGAATGACGACGGAAGGATGGGAGGAAGGAAGGAAGGAAAAGGAGGGAAGGAAGGAAGGAAAAAGAAAAGAATAATCATATTGAACAATTATTGTTGTTTTGACAAATCAGAAACTGTTTTATTGAAATATCGATCGTGCGATTTGATTGTGTTGGCTTTAAGGAATCCAAGGACCCATAGGTCCGCCCGGGAACTGCACGCTGGGACCACCCGGCCCGAGAGGAGAGAAGGGAGACCGGGGGTTCACGGGAATGATCGGACCGGCCGGTAAGAATCTACGTTTCATTAAAAACATCATCCATTCATAAAACGTAATATCTTGACGTTTTCACCAAATTTAACGCTAAAGATCTAAAATTATTTCGCATGGTGTCAATATTGTGATAACTACCTTAATGTGGATCGCCATTACCATTAGACATAGAGCCCTGTCAAATCCTGTTGTTCTGCATGCAGCCATTATATCTCATGAAAAAAAATTAAACAATACAATTCAAAATAGTGTGTCTCAAATCACTAGTACATTTGGTTGAACGCTAAACTAGTTGTAAATCATTCTCACGTGTGAAGCCTAGTGAAGCTATCCCTTCATAGTTTTCCGCGCGTGCCTGTCTAAGACGATTTTCTAATGTTACATGTATGTGTGTTTCCATGCCCAGGTCCAGCCGGACCCACGGGACGTCCGGGAATACAGGGACCGTACGGCCTTCCGGGGATTCCTGGACCGAAAGGGGACCAAGGTGAGGCAATGTGTTTGCTCCTACTGTTTGCTATTAGCCTTTGCTTGTAGTTAAGTCTTTGGTACTTTTGGTTGCTACTAGTCTTCGCTACTAGTACTTGTGCAATTGCTATTTATGTTCGCTACAACGTTTTACTACTAGCCTGTGCTACAAGTGGTTGTTGCTAGTATTTGCTACAAGCGGTTGCTACTAGTCTTTGCTATTGGTACTTGTGCACTATGCTTGCTATTTATGTTTGCTACAAGTTTTGTTACTAGCCTGTGCTACAAGGTGTTGCTACTAGTATTTTCTACAAGTGGTTGATACTGTAATAATTGTCAGTGATTCTTCTCGTGTAATTCAGGCCCTGCTGGTTCTCCAGGAAAGATCATTATTTTCCTGCCCTATCCCGCCGGCGGGAAGTCTAAGAACGCTTCACAGACTGACGACCACGCGGGAAGGCCTGGTTAGTACAGTTTACAATCTTACAACATTACAAGTACATTTTATAGATGGCATCCTCTGTACACTCTAAATTTAATGCGAGAGGACGAACAAAAACAAGACGGGTATTAAAAAACAAGATTCCTATAGATTTTCAAAATAGATACCTTGAATTGTGTTACCTACAATACCTAGCTGGTGTGTTACGCCGAAATGTGGTTATACCGGCTATACAGATACAGATAACAGAATCTACACTCTTGGCTACAGGTTAATGTTAGTGTTACTTCTACTAAGTTCATAATATATTTCAATGCATGTATTCGTATGATATTGCATGTACAGATGTGAGATATTCCTAAACCATTAAACTGGTAGACGCAATGGCAATAATAGCGAACGCGGACTGTAAGTAACAATCTTTTTTGCCGCACATGCGCAGACGTGCCAGGTGACGCCAACCCGGCCGACAGGTCCGCCATTTTGACCGTCATACACAGCCAGACCAAGGATATCCCAGAATGCCCCTGTGGTCTGACGGAAGTGTACCACGGATACAGCCTGGTCGAGCTGACGGACAACAAATTCGACCCGGAGCAGGACCTCGGTATGTTAATTGTTCTGTAGAACCCATAGATATATTATATGGGTTGCACATACAATACCATCTATATAGCGTCCTGTATATGTACGATTTGGGGGATATCTTGTGCAACGCATCACACCACAGAGAAACGCAACGAATGTGGAAGTAACTACGCCATCGCAGGGCCAAAAAAGTCAGGGATATATGACCTGATTAAGACATGAAATTAGTTCAAAATATTGTGTAAAAAATGCCAGCAGCACAACGGTTAAAGGCATCCAATGCAATTCCAGAGAGGCAACACTTGCTTTCTGGTCATTCTTTTAATGTGTTAAGATGATAATACTATATATATCCCAAAGCATACTAATATCTGTGAGGCAAAAATGCGATGTCGCTGACGGAAAAAAATTGCTTGTTTTGTATCGTACTAGGCTTGCTCGCTTGGTACCTTAAAAAAATAATGACGCCTTGTTTGAGAGAAATTCCAGTGTCTCTCTTGTATAGACAACTTCTAAAGGAGATCCTTAGTAGTATGCGACCTATCCTGTCCATAACATACTACTATCCTTATCACGTATTTTGTCTCCAGCCCCACTTTGTGCCATTTAGAAAATTATAACTATATGTATAAACAAATATGAATAAATTTTCCACAGGGTCTGCTGGGTCCTGTCTGCCGTACTTCAGCGTGTCGCCTGTCACAGTCTGTGGCGGGAAGACCTGCAGCGAGCAGTCTACCCAGAAGACCCTGTGGCTGACGTCAGGAGAGCCCTTACCTACGTCACAACACGTGACTGATGACGTCCTGGCGTCAGCCGTCAGTCGGTGCACTGTCTGTCAGGCGCATGCGCGGGTCATCGCCATTCACAGTCAGAAGGACCACGTTCCCGACTGCCCCACCGGATACAGGAGTGGCTGGACCGGATACAGCTTCAAAAAGGTTCAACACAAAATTAAACATTTATTGAATGATAAAGTTAGATAAGTACGCTAGTAGGAATAGTTTATAGTAATTAAGTGGTATGGATGGTAGAGCCATATTTGTCATACATTGTATCCGATGCAATTGTTGTGCAATAAGGCTTAACTTGACAAAAATGTTTTAAAAATAACCAAGCAAAATCATCGTTAACGTATAATGAGCCGTATGATTTTAAAAATAGTTTTATACAGAATTTATGAACATAAACTCAAATTCAAAAATCTCACATGGTTGATTTTTAATAGTCCGGTACCATCTCTGGTACGACTACTGCTGAACAAAGTGAATTGGATAAAACATTGGATGAAATGTGTAAACTAAATACAATATACTTTATGTACTGAAGGCACAATTAAGGCTTTTTTCATAAACCATTTTGAAATGATTAGTTGATTTTGATTTTTTTCCATTTTACACAGAAGCCAACTGACGGCGGAGTAGACGGCCCGTTTCTGGGGGACCCTGACTCGTGTCTGCGGAAGTACCTGGACATCCCCGTGATCCAGTGTGATCCAGCCACGGGCAGCTGTACCCAGCCGGCGGGACAGGGTGACAGGTGGCACCGAGCAGCCGCCTTAGTCGACACGGTGGTCACCACACCTGCACCGGCACCGGCCAGCCGCTGTCGGGTCTGTGTGTATGACGAGTAAGAATATGTTAGTGAAGAATTGGGAGAACGATTTCGTCGTTGCCACTGCTTTGATTGATAATGATTGTAGCATGGAGGTAGAAAAAAGACCTCCATGATTGTAGGTAGCCTGGGTACCATCCGGATTTTCGCTCCACAACGCTCGAACGCTCAGGCTAGATTGTAGGTACAGGATTTGGCAAATTAAGCATAATATCAGAGGCAACAGAAGAATTATTCACGCCTTTCTTTGTTTCAAAGATGTCACGATAAGTCATAAAGATATGATTACTGTATCAGCCACTGGCGCTTTTGTGTTTTCAAGGAGTGAAGAACATGTGACCATACCGACTGTAGGGCGCTGTGTTGTGATTTTCATCTAGCAAGACTATATGTAGAAACATTTTGTGTCACTTTATCAATATAAATACATGTATTCGTATTTCCATAACCCGTAGAAGACGGAAGTGGCAAGGTTAACAAAGCATTTTGTTCCTCCTTGTCGTTTTCGAAATAATAAGACGAATCTTAATTTTTTGTTCTCTTTTTATTTGTGTGTGTCAGTGTGTGTGTGTGTGTGTGTGTGTGTGTGTGTGTGTGTGTGTGTGTGTGTGTGTGTGTGTGTGTGTGTGTGTGTGTGTGTGTGTGTGTGTGTGTGTGTGTGTGTGTGTGTGTGTGTGTGTGTGTGTGTGTGTGTGTGTGTGTGTGTGTGTGTTGAGTGGGATGGTGTGATGATCAGGACCACCCCCCCCCCCAGTATCTTGTTGGCAGATTCCTGATGACGTATCCAATCCATGAATATAGGCGATTATAGCACAATGCACATCTGTTGTCGTGCCCTCCTATCCAGCACCACAGTCGCAGTACATGGTACATTTGTCACAACAGGCAGTGAACTGTGTCCCCTGCCACCGCTACAGCAGCCCTAATGCACCCTTGTTTTGATAAAGATGTACTCCAGCCGTTCTTGAAAAAGGAATAATGACGACATCTTAAATCAAGTGTTTTCCTCAAGAAGAGAAAACAGCGGGGCATTCGTGTGCACGATACGGCCGCTGGCCATGAATAAAGATTTGGAATAATACGAACCGCACTCAAAAGACCGAATAATTGAATACGCTATCAGTTGTTGTTGCTATTCGTAGGGAGCTGTATGGAGAAGTGTACATGTACTGCTTAAAACCGGACTCGTGCCTTCTGAAAACGGGAGTTACAGTCATATTTACCAACGTGGACCAAGTAGCGGGATGGTTTGCACGTGTTCTGACTGCCGTACTATTTAGTCTAAACGTCCTCAGCGTTCCTGACTTGACACAGAGGTAGGATGCTCTGTTATCTTCACTAGCTACAATGATCGAGTAGTTGTTCACTTTCTTAGATATTGAGTGCCATAGTTGTAAGATTTTGTTGGCAGTTTAGACGGGGTCAATTTACGTAGTTAGAAACGTGTGAAGCTGAAATTCAAATGAACCTTCTGACTCGATCATGGCATGATAGAGGGAATCATGCATGCAGTTTTAGAGCCCAGCTGCGCCCTAGTTTTTGATAAAGAAATGCATAATCTATGCATTTCTTTCATTTGAAGTGTCGACGAACTAAACCTGTAAGTAAACGGGCAACAGATTCATGGTCAATGCTACAGTCTCCTTATTCAAACAAAGGTTTGAACATCCGTACCTTCATTGAATAGAACCTCCAGTTTAAACAAAAGAAATGATTTCTTCTTTGTATAAAAGATCCTATCTTGTCTTTAGTTTTGAAATTGCCTCAAACAGACTGTTGGGATGTGACAGAATTGCCTTTCCATAGAACAGCGTTTTATAAGCATGATGACGCCATTTTTTCTCCCTAACAGACATGTTTCCCATACTTCCTTATTGGTTGTCGTTACCTTGACAGTTGCCTAGTAACGGACAAAACATTGACACAAACACATTTTCCGTTTGACTGCGCGTAAGATAACAAGTTTGAATGGAACCTAGATTTTACCTAAACAAAGTGAGACAATAAGTTGTTTGTTCCAGTTGTGTATGTTATACGAGTCTTTTTCTTGGGGTGGGGTGGGGGGTTAAAGGGTTTTCTCAAGTGTCAAGTGTTTTTAAGTCTCCTTTTTTTTACCAGTTTTCACACTTTGAGGTGTCGACCAGGTTGTTTCGTAGTTTACTGCTAATGCTGTTGTTAGATACTTAAGAACTTGATCCTGCGTTACACAATCTCTCTCTCTGCCGGGGATTGACCATAGAGCTGCTAAAAGCGTGATGTAGTCAGGCTATTTACACATTAGTTATAAGAAATGCTATTTTATTTTGGACACAAGACGTCATAGGTGGTTTTCCTTTTTGTACATAGTTGATATTGTTGTGATTTTCTTATTCCCAAAAGGCAATGGCAAACACAACAGCGTCAGCGGTCGTCATGACAACGTCTCTCGCCTCGCCCGACAGCGCGACGTCGCAAGGGCTGCTGGGAGGGCAGGCCATCGCCGCCATTGCGTGCGCGTCCTTCATTTTTGTTCTCCTGATCCTGGCCGGCGTCCTCGCCGTGGTGCGGGCCGTGAGGAAAAACAAGAACACGGTCCAGCCGGAACATGGAGACACCAACATCCTGATTGGTCAGGACGACGCACCGGCTGATCCTGTCTCGAATTCGAACGATGAAAACCATGGCAACGGGGATGCAACAGGACCATAAGATGTTCAAATATCATGGATGGATGTATCCCCCCCTCCAAAAAAAACTGCTGTATATTTGTCATTTCTGACCAAGGACGTCCTTGTTTTGACTATTGTAAATGTAGTTACTGTAAGCAAGGAGGTGCCACTATAACCTCATTGCTATAAATTACTGACGTCCTGCAATTATAACAGTAACCGCTAGAAGCGCTGCTACTTATGGGCGGTATAAAAACAGTATAAAAGGCGTGGCGTCAATATTGCATCACTATGTAAATTTGTACTGAAATGTGAAAGAGAAACTTGGTACGAGTGTTGTCACCTTGTGGATACAACGACGATTCATTTTGTAAACATTACGTTAAGTAGAATACTACCCCTTTATATAATCAAATAGAGTGAAATGCATGACTACTATGTACTTTGTCATTTGGTACATGTATTAATAAATGATTAACCGTGCGTCTAACGTTATCATGGATCACAGTACACCTTGATGAAGTACACATATTTTGTTCGGTTGAAGATACAATACAAAGAAGTGGCGTGTCAGCAGGATCGAAAATGCAGCTCTGGTTGACTGGGCATGTTTAAAATACCAAACGTAACCTCTACCGTACGGACACACAAAGGCCAATGACAAAGACTACATTCCCAGAGGAATAGTGGTGTAGCGTGAATATGAATTACCGTGGAGTCTGCTTTTTGAAACTTCATCAGTGGTGGAATAATCTACAAGTATGACAAAGGGTTGGCCTTAGATGCAATTTCAAACGCTAAGACTGACACTGTTCAATTTTCAATGTTGTACACAACTGTTTCTTTTGGAAATTGCAGTTTAAAGATCATTCATCGCATTCATAATGCACTGTGCGCTACTGATATCTGTCTGTTATTCATTCCCCTTACAAAGCATAGAAGAAAAACATCCGCATGCCACAACACTAGCATCCGTATAACACAAAGTAAATGCGCTGAAATATTTATGCATAGATAAATAGTTTGTGTTCATTGATCGTTCATAATAGAGTATTGTGCAATTATTTCCCAGAAGAATCCAGACATATCTCATTTCCTTCTGACCTACAATCTTCTCGCGGCAAAGTTCCGAACGCCCAACACTATAAACAGCAGTACTTGAAGATTAAGATAAGAAACTGCTGACTAATGTTCGGTAACAAGGCAGCGATTCATGGTCAATCGTCACGTAGTGTGTATTTATTAGTGACAGAAGTCACGTACTCTGGTCTCACGCATACTTAAGCGCTATGGCAACACGGCAACGTATGTAAATGTGCTAACTCACATTGTGTATGTGTGTGAATAGAAGTTTGTGTGACCCTTTGGGTACAGTCTATGAATAGTCTAGACATAATAACTATATACAGTCAAACTCGTTCCTCCACTGCACAATCAGACTGTACAATAGCCAAATGCAGACCTAGTGTTCTTTTGTTTCATGTCCCACTCTTGTATGTAATTGTCTTGTGCGTTTCTTATACTTAATGATATGTAAAGTCCACACAATTCAGGGGTACTTTGTACCCCTGCTATGTTGACTATTCTTAATAAAATTGAAAATTGAAACAAATTGAAATCTACAGCACATTATTATCTTTAAAAGTGCAAGGATCTTACATAAGGAGATGAGATTCAAACGTTTCCAACTACCAGACAAAAAAAAATTAATCTGAAATACCTCCATGCACCTTACGTTTTAATGTGCATCTACGTAAGCAGAAAGATGCCTATTTAAGCCATTTAGTATACAGCAGTCAGCTTACACAATGCCAGGGTCACCAAGGACATTATAATGTATAGCATGGACAAGATCAACCAATCATCGCCCGTGTGCTGTACCGATGTCGTCACCAGGGGGCGTGGCGCGGTGAGGGTTCACGGACGACTGGAATAAACCATCCTGCTTTGTTACCGGGGGGACCGACAGCGTCACTGCAAAAATGTCGAGCTGCACAAAACCTTCCATTGCAGTGACGTCACTAGCAGAGCGCCCCATTCGATTATTCTAAGGTCTATTTATAGCGGAACGAGGCCAACCCGGCTTGTAGGACGACAGAAGTGTTGCATTTTATAGTAGAGAAGGTTTTCTTCCCCCCTCCCTCCCACGCTGAAAAGACGAACCCAATCCACCTGTTGGTTTCAGAGGACGAGGAAGTAAGGTCGAAAAAAATTCACGCTTCGTCAAGAGGCGTTGTATTTCAGGAATTGTGACGTTCGGTAAGACTTTTATGTTAGTTACAATGTTGAGATGGAGTGGTTTATTTGTGCATGTGCTGTGCCTGTGTGTGGGACTGAGGTTAACCCTTGGACAGACGACGGCGGCCACGACGCTTTCTACAGCCGTGGCTGGCAGTGTGTGTACGCTGGAAGTCAACCAAACACAATGCAGCAGTGGTAAAGCTTCTGATGGAACGTCTAGCTCAAACTGTGACCAAGGAGAGTGGATTTTGGACGTACAGGCCACATCGGGCACTACAGTCCAGTTTGGCAGCGACGACGGATACCAACCCAACTTGGTATCAAATACGACAGAAAATGGAAATACCACATTTAAATACAGGTGAGACTTTAACTGACGTTCTTTCTAGTTCCAGGTTCTCCTTTGTCTTGAAATACTGAATTGTTAACATACATATATATATATATATACAAATATAGATATCGTCAATTAAGAGATAAAGCTATAGATATTCCGCGTCTATTTCTCACACAACAGTGGGTTAGTCCAAACAGGACACAAGTGCGCACTGGAGTGTTGACACAACAGTAAATAGGTAACTACGCGTTAAAATAGTTACGGTGGAGATAAATAATTACGTTGGAGACAGTTACGGTGCGTGCAGTCACATTCGACGTAGGTCGTCGTGTGGTTTTATCATATGGACTAAGACAGTCTTTTCCGATACAAGACATCCAAATTTTGCAAGACATGCACATGCATAGCTATCTAAAGAACGCCCTACGTTTGTAGGACTGTCGTGCGACCTATGTGATTGGCCCTTGTACTGGAATGATTGAATGAATAAATGAAGACCTTTATTGTACAAAAATACTCACTGGGTTACGTACACAGGAATCGCTTGTGTATACAAACAATAAACACATGATCAAGCTAGCACTATCGCTATAGTGAATAACCAACTGCAAGCCGCCTTGCTTTGGTAAAATATGCAGTCCACATTGCAGCGTTGCTAACGACGAATTTGGCTTATGCATCAACTAGTAGAAAACTAAAGCAAAATCAAGGAGAACATGGGATTGAGTTAGCAACGAGAGGGCTACAGTAGTGTTCAGTTGTTTATGACTTCTGGCATGGCATACAAAGTCACATCCATGAAAAATTCATGGTACGTGGAGCGAGCGACCCTTCCTATTGTTTCCGGCGTTTCAAGTTGCAAGTTTAGCAAACGGGACCAATATACACACGAACATTAGTATTACGAGTATGTATATGCTGTATATACAGTACTCTACTACATGAATATACCAGCGTCTAGAAAATTTTTGCTGAACTCTACGATCCTTTATTGTGGCTAGCTAGACATTTTCCTCGCTGGTCTTGTTGTTGGTCTCAGCGAAAGAAAAATAAATTGGTTGCTGACGAACAGAAAACGAATTGGGGCACGCGGCAGGTTAAGTGTTGACTCGCCGATGCGAGACTTGAAAGCTGCGCAAACAACAGTTTGGACATGACAAAACGCAGGGTGATGACACAGCGGTCGCTGCGCTCGACTTGTTCCGGTCCGAACTTTGGACAGGACTGCGTGGGTGTTCAGGGTGTTGACATATCGTGTAGTCCGTTTTTAAAGTCCGTTTTGCATTGCATATTGGTTCCATTTTTGTTGCTTAGGGGCATGTCTGTAGTATATTGTGTCTTGGTATCTTCGTGTTGGTATTAAAATCACCATTTTGATTCAGCCTTCCTATTTATCAGCTATACCAAGGTTAGACCTCCTTGGCTATACGTAGCTAACTGTAGTATTATCATAGCGCCGTCTATCGACATTCCGCAAAACTGCAATTCAAAGAGCGTACATTCCTAGATCCTCGAAATATCTTTTTTTTTTGCAGCAAAAGTTCCAAAGTCCACCGTAGCTAATCTCCAAGCATATTTTGTAGCGTTCAGGGAGTCCACATTGACCGCCTGAATCCATTGGCCTTCTGAAACAACGGTCAATATAGACTCTACTTGCCCCATAAAATCTGCTTGGAGATTACGTTACACCGGAGCATGGAATTCTCAACGCTGATCTATAAACCACCTCCTATGGTCTCTCAGTCACTGACGAAAGCTAGTGGATACTAGCTGAAACGTCTGACCATTTCCAAAATAATATCCAGTTGCTTGAGTAACTGCTTTTTGGCTGATCTATAAAATTGACCACTACTTTCTTTTTCTTCTTCAGTGTCAGCTGCTGTTATGACGTCATGCGAGCTGACGATTCTGACGTCGCGACGTGCAAGATCAACGTCACCGAACGTTCGACGTTCGCGGGAAGTGTGGGTTTCCCCGAGGACACGTTAGCTCACGTCGCGATCGGCTGCGGCGGCGGGATCGTGGTCATGCTGTGCCTGGTCTTCGCGCTCAACGCCGTGTGCAACAGCGACCAGAAGAACCAGGCCAAGTACAAGGCAGCGCAAGACGCGGAAAGCCAGCAGAGGAAGGTCGAACAGCCGCCACCGCTGAGCCAAGACACGCCCAGAAGGCCGGCGCTAGATGCTGTGTTCGACACCGGCCAGCGACAAGGCCAGCGGCCAGGCTACAACGACCGCGCCTTGCCGGACCCTCCCCCGCCGGGCTCGCACGGAGGGTACCCCGATCGCCCCATGGGAGATCCTCGGTCGGCCTCGCAGGGAGACCGCGGCGACCGCGCCATGGCCGATCCTCGGGAACAGTCGTACGGGCACGACAGACCACCGTACGACGACCGTCGCGGACACGACAACTACGACGACGACCGTCGTGGGCACGACCGACCACCGTACGACAACCCACGCGGGCAAGGCCGACCACCTTACGACGACCCTCGCGGGCACGACAACTACGACGACGACGGCTACGACAACTGGTCCTTTCAACACGACGACTACGAGCGTCCGCGACACCAGTCCCAGTTCGCGCCACCGCCGAGGGAACACCAACGCCAACAGCAGATGCGTCGCCACACAGAAGCGCCACCCTCCGGACCGCAGCGGTACGACAACCACGGAGAGGCTGCCAGGAACTTCAACGGCCCTTACGACCGCCACGGCCGGTACTCGGAGATGCCGCAATACGACAGGGGCATGCGCGGTGGACCACCCACAGACTTCGACATGTATTAGCAAGCTTTGTTCAAGGTCAAGCTCGTCTATTTGGCAAAAATCTGAACTTATGTAGGAAAAAAGCAATTTTTAAGATTTCTACGCATAATCAGACTACCATTTTTAACAACTTACACTGACGTGAGTGCAATGTACTGTTATATTAATTATGCTAACCAGGAACAAAATGGCCAGTATTGAATTTCCAGCAAAAGATCTGTGGTATACCATGTATTACTACTATAATACTTATCGTGTAATATCCATTTATAAAATCATAAAGAACGCGAGAACTATGAAACTCAAGATTCTACTTAATGATGGCGATTCTAAACGTATATTGACTAACTGTGGACTTAAGTTGCAAGTGTGTTCTAATGTGAATCTTCATGATCAAAGGAAAGGCAAGCTTAGGGCAACAGCAGCATGTACTGGTACTGTATGAGAATAGTAATTTGTTGTATTAAACTCAACTGTCATATTGATATCATTCACATATATATTTGGACATGATAATCATGGCTTTTTGGTTATTGTAATCAAGAATTTCCTGAATAAATTAACTTACAGGCAGTTATACTTGTGTTTGGTGTTAATGGCCTGTGTTGGTTGTATAGCCATTGCAATAAATGAAAATGCTGGATACTATTTAGTGTGGGGACGTTGCCGGATGAAGGCCACAATTATAGGTAAAAATGCAACATAACATTGAACAAATTATCCACATGTCAATAGTTTCATCAGGGCATAAAATCAATGGATATGAAAACAATAAAGCATAGAACATTGGCAGGGAATTAACTCCCTCGTTTTGTACATATGAAATCCAAATAAAAGAAATGCTTAGTATAAATTGAATTTTGAAAACGAAGGATTAAACTACCACTCACATTAAACAGTTGAGCTTGAGTTGATAAGAATCTTTCATTGCAGAAGGCACCGGCCGCCATTTTTCTTCAGTTCTGACATGGTAATTACCATGGTTCTGAAGTGTGACCCGAAGTCAAAGGTCAAACTTAAACTTTGTTCCACACATGAGACACACGCACCGAAGTTTTGGCTGACCTACTGCAGTCCTTCATAGGATCATACATGTCTACTAATTACCATCATAGATGATATTAATGTCTCTTTACAATGCGGTAAAGCTGCCATCCTATGCTAGTACAAGTTTGCAAACATCACCTTGCGGTTCACATTGAAAGTGCACGAAGCACTAACCCAACCAGAGGCCACCACCTTCGATTCACCACCTTCACATGTAACATCCGTGTCCATAAAATCACCAGGGTCCATAATATCGCCACCTTGAGAAATAGTGTGCTTAAAGATATTTTTACTGCAGCATACCCTAGATATGTACATTTGATGTGTGAAGGAGTGCATACCAAAAGTATGTTGCAGTAAAAATATCTTTAAGCACACTATTTCTCAAGGTGGCGATATTATGGACCCTGGTGATATTATGGACACGGATGTTTATACAGAACCAGCTTCTTTCCCTACACGATCACTCAATGGAACAACCTGCCATCACAAATAGTTTCTCTAGCTAAACCCAAAAGACTTAACGAATGTACATATAAATCTTAGCCTCCATCAGACTCCATCGGTTTCTGGAAAGGTAGCCAAATGAGATAGCTGGCCATAAAATTACAATCTGCAATCCACGGGGAGATCTGCAACGTACTTCAATAGCCGACCAAACTCGCTGAGGAAATACCCTACCCAATTTTAGCCAATTTCTACGATTTTTACACTCCGCCAAGAGATTTGGTTAAGACTAGCCTTCACACATCGCCTTGCGGTTCACATAGGAAGTGCACGTAAAGGTGACAACATTCCCTCTAACAGAGAATTTCTTGGAAATTACTTTCAAGTAATTTCTCTTACAGAAGTGTAAAGCTTAATGAATATCTATTTATAGCTAGATTTGTGCGTATCTTCAGAAATCTCCATCGCCCAGAATCGGAGACAGGCGTGGTTTTTGTGTACACACATTCCACACGATAAGGGAGGGGTCAAACCAATTTTGCTGGGGGTGCGGAGTCCTCATCGATTTTATGTCACTTCTTAATTGACTCACTTAGTCTAATCCTCGAATTTGTTTCCGATCCACTTCAGGTTACTTAGGCTACGATTTACTATTGCTCCCTGGGATAAGACTTAAGAAGGTTGTTTTAGCTGGTTAAGGAGGATATCTAGTGATAGATTAGTAGTTAGTGCTGCTAGGGCTTTGATGTGGGCGACCTACACGGATATGTCACAAAATGAATGGGCTGTGTTGAGATAGTTTTGATTTTTATAAAGTTACAGACACTTTGACCATGTAATTTATATCGTCAAGTTTGTGTCTTGTTCGACCCTAGTATATTCACTTATGACCCTAAATAAAATCGACCTACAGGCCGAATAAAATCATTCACCATTAGGTTCCGAAAACTGATGCTAACTTATTGCACTATTGTACAAGATATAACACACGACTTCTACTTCTCTATAACTATTAATATCATCATGATGATTATCATTTATATGACAATAAACATATTATCAGACTGATCTACCTTACAGAAACCATGTAGTTTGAGTCAAGAATAAAAGCAGAGCGGAAGGGGATCAACACTCCCTGAAGTTTTATCGCAAAATGTATTCTTTTCTATGACTGTATCACATACTTTAGTCATTCGTGAAATCATGTTTTCCTACTGTGATGAAATAGTTTGATCAGACTATCGGCTGTTTAAAACATGCCGGTGCGGACGGGAGGTACGGCCATGGTTAGTTGGTGGTTGGCTGGTGTTCGGGGGTGAAATTTGACTCAAATTTAACTCCAATTTGCGTGTCCTAAATGTGGTCCGACTACTCCCGAACTTTAGCCAAGGACATTAGCCGACATTGTTTGGCTGGTACTCGGGGGCGGGGCGTTAAAAACACATTTTTATATTATTTCAAAGCCCTTTCTGTTACTCATTCTGTATCTATACGTACGTACGTACGTTCAAGACCAATCATAAGGCACGCAAAGTTTGGCCAAAAAGTACACGTTTCCATGGAGACATTCTGACGTCATCAACGGCGAGTGTCCCGCTGCGGCAGTGGTTACTATTTATGGACCTTAATTACTGAACCCCCTTCTGTTACCATGGCTACTGCATATATTAGTCTAACCGTACTTGATTCTACATCAAACAATACTTTGATATAATTAAACAGGTGACTGCTGCGTTAAGCTTCATCTAATAATATACTATATACCAACACAATGTTAGAGATACATGCATACGAGGATGATGACATAGTTTACACCGCAAGGAACAATTTGTAAGCTCGTAGCTTAGACGTTTTCTTCAGGTTTTCCTTACCATAAATACTTAAGTCGGTGCTTTGAAAACAACTGAACTAAATACGTTTTAGGGCAGGAGAGGAGGAAAATACCTTTGTCTATGAAAGCGGTGAGAAGAGTCACAATATGTGTTTTACAGCGGCGATGTTTGGATAGGGACCAAACGATTGGCTCGTTAATGGCCGTAAATGGTGTTTATTTTGATCAACAATCGCGATAAGCTCGGAGTCTTCTAGAAGCGCGCGGGCGGCCAGGTGCCATTTGAGGAAACGGAGATACAGGAGACACCTCGCGGAGACGACACGGCAGATTTCCCCCCTCTCTTGGTCCTCAAACTCTCAGGTTCAGCTACCAACATGGTGTTACTCTGTAAGACGGAGATGTTGTGCCTCGGGCTAGTCATGTTCTGTGGTCTGTGTAACAGTCACGCGTTAGATTCGGAGAGAAAACAGAGATTGCCATTGCCAGGGGCGACGGACACAGAACCACTGCCTGCTGCCCGTCATCTTTTGACGTTTGAGGTAAGCCGATATTCAATATTCAAGATGTTATGTCCACGTTACATGTTTGGTCGGTAAAGCTTGTGTAATCTATCATAGCTAGCAGTGACCGACCCGTGAAACCTTTCACGTTTCATCAGTTCCTCCTCCTCAGACACTGTGGATTGTTGTTTCTGCTGACTGTAGCAAAATGATTCTTTGGTACGTGAAAAACAACACTACTGGGGGAAAAATTTAATATCGCAGTTGACTTAATGTAACATGTAGGAAGGTGGACTTGAGACAGGTGGGTTTGGTTAATTGCGAATCGTCTTGGAGAGGAAGAGATGTGAGCCTCAAATTTACGTCACGATTTCTTCTAGACCTGGAGAAACTGGCATCAGTTTTTCTATTTAGTATTTCTGTCATTTCAGTTCCTTTCTTGGATTTCGACATAGCCTTTGATGTGTATAAAACCCTTTTTTACTTACTTCAAGTGATTCAAGTTCTTGCTTGGCATTAGGATAAAATTTGTTGGTAGGAGAGTAAAATTTTCCTATAAAACTTCCCTATAAACGATGATAAACTTGTACAGAAAAGGGATGGATGCAGTGAAAGTTAAAACTTATACAGCTCAAGCTAAGAAAGACGATTTTTTTCACTGTAGATTACGCAAAACCCTAGTTCTGTTGTTTTGTACGTGTTATTCCCGTTGCCATGACGACAGGACACGGTGCCGCCCGTTGTGGTAACGAGAGATGTCGGCTGTTGAGTTTGTCAGCTGGTCAATCTCATCCCGACAAACACAGCCACACATCAATGTTAATTCTTCCGTCTCCAAAAACAACCGTCTCCAGAGTCTGGTGTCGGATGACTCTCGGAGAAAAACAAGCGCAAGCGAATTCATTTGCTCAAGACGAAAACATATTAGTCTTTCAGCATGAAATGTATGTTTCTCTTTCAATAGCCGGCAATGCATACCCGAACATCAGAACAGGCGCACAGAAGATACGTATGTGTGCTTCACTATCAAAACAAAACTTGGTTCACACGCTCGGGTAGAAGTTGTAAACACGAATGTATTGTCATTTTACAAAAGAATAGCTGCTTATGTGGTGAGTCTCTGATGGCAAAAGAACAACATGAGATTTGAGACACCCACGTTTGATTGTTTGAAATAGAAACTTATCTTGGAAACCGCCTTTGTGACATAATCTATAAATGCCACTTGTGTTGACCGCACGGTTTTGACGCGAAGCAACATTGGCTTTTTTAATTAAGGGCAGCCATGAATGAATTATCTTATGTTAACAAAGAATTTGACCTATAATAACCCACACTTTAGACATGCTATTATTAACGACAAAAGCCAGTTCTCTTGGTGACTTAATCAGTTTCAAAAATTGACTCCGACAGATCAAATAAAATTCGTTCATTGCTGTTTAAAGAGCTTACGTCTGTTGGCATTTATCTTAAAGTTAGTAAATGCGAGGCTGGTATGTACACCTAATGTCGGCAGGGGTACGCTAGGTACATGTATATATGCGCGACCACCTGGGATGGCACTGGAGACATTAAAACACAATTTGTCTTACGTGCAAACGGTTTCTGATAGATTACTTCTGGACTACTGACTTCTATTCTTAGAATAACGCTGGGCCATTTACTCAGCAGACATACAAGGTTAAGGCCGCGAAAGAACTGAGACGTTTGCGTAGGTTCTCCTTTTTTACAGTTTGTCAGCCCAACCAAGTTTAACTCAGTTCCACAAGCTTCTTCAGAGCAACAAAAGCACGCTCAACGCTCATTTGGGAACAGGAGTCCAACGAACAAGTCTTCTAGCAGGTTCGTTGTCCTAGCGAGCACATACAAGCTATTGCGTTATGTACATATGGCTGTTTCTAGACGTTGTTCTAACACATCTTTGTCTACAGGTATCGCCACTTGAAAGACTAGAAGGTTTGATGCTACGTGGCGGCCGGCACAGGAGGAGCACTCTGATTGAATTTACGGTGCCTCTGGCTATAAGGATTACAGGCAGAGGTAAGGGACTTGATATACTTGTATAAGTAGTGGTGTTTTGTTACACATCTTAAGCTACTTTTGCCGTCTTTCGGGGAAAACGCAAATTAACAAATGTAAATGGAGAAAGCTCTAGATGATAACATTTCTTTGCGTTGGAACAAAAGTTTTAACTTTAAACAAGTAAACAGAAAATAGTTTTCCTCGGTGCAACTTATATTTGGTAACTAATTGAAAATTCACAACTGTCGGTGAGACTTGACGGTGGTGAGGGATAGTTCCAGGTTTCACAATGGCTGAATTGGAAGAAACCATCTTAAATCTTGCTTAACATGTTGTAACATTGTATATCCCTGACGTATTGGCCCCTTCAGACAGGGCTGCATTCCATTCCTCCCAAAGAAAAACTAATAATTGCAAACACTGTAAACAATGACCTGCTGTTTAATGACTTGACGGTAATCTCTCATGAACTAGCTTTTGAGGAAAACAACTAACGACAACGTCACGCCAGACACTGACAAACAAAACACATCACCATGGATACAATAATATGCCATTACTTATACCCAATATCTTTATCTATATTTCAGGAACTATAACCGTTGACATCAATGCAATTAATTTGGATGACGGTAGCGAGTTGATATTCCGAATCGACACAGCCAGAACAAACATTAACGGAACGGCGACCTTACAGCCCAAAACCTGCGACTCTAGTACCAACTCAGGCTGCGTATCGCTGAGCTATAAAACCGCGTCTGGCTCATTAACTGGCACAGATCGTATCTATATTATTGTGGAGGACAAAGATAAACCATCCAACTACGTTGAAGCGGTATTCATGGTAGAGACAACGAACCCCGGTGGCGTGTTGGGATCCACGTATGTCGTAAGTGTGCTTCGTTTCCTACCTGTATTTGATTTATCAAGTGATACGTCAACGTATTGTAATGTTCTTATCGTCTTTCAAATGAAATTCTATATTGCTAATATTCAATACACCATGGTGGAAACATACTACTAATGTAACTACAGTAGTTAAATGTCGACGACTAAGCTTGGCCGGTCATGTTGTACGTAGTGAAGAACCAGCCAGTAGGCTTCCACTCTGGAACCCTGATACAAAGAGAAGAGTTGGACGTCCAAACATAAACTTATTGAAACTGAAACAGGCCTGGAGGGACATGAACCTATCTCTGTGATGTATGACAAACAGTTTTGGCGATAAGACTAATCTACCTTACTTATTTACAAAGACTATGTAGTAACGAATGAGACTGTGAGTTTACAAATACAATTGCTAGCGCTAGCGTTTGGGCATTTTTAGAAATATATATATTTATGTATTACTTATGTATTCTACGTGTAACCTTAAACCTCGTGGGGTCGTGTGGCATAATGGCAGAGCGCTCCACTCGGAACCAAGAGGTCCCGGGTTCGAGTCCTGACATGCCACCGATCTTGTGCCTTTGGGGAAAGGCACTTTCCGCACTTACTAGTAACTCAAGTGAAAATGAGTATTGTCCTGTCCTGTATTTGCCCTCTGCGTTGGTGGCGGCATGAAATAAGTTATAGCTTGGGTGTGCCGTCACCATGAAATGTTGGAATAATAATAATACGATGTCGTATATTTTTAGGGGGAAGTGCCGTACAACCCGGCTGACGAGGGTCAGAACTGGCAGATAGCGGCTGCGCTGTTAGCGGCGAGTGTGTTCATCCTCATCTGCGCCATCATCAACATCTGGTGCTGCATGGAGTTCGACAGGAAACCCGAGGAAGAGTAAGTCTTGATTTAATTTCAATTAAGGCAGACAAGTTTTAAAATAACCTAGGGTTACAGTTTCTCTTGGAAAGATCACCCACACCTCTCAAGAGGTGGAAAGACCATAACAGACAACACTTGATGTAGTATAAAGGCCGTGGAGTCTGCGGCACTACATGTAGATCGTACTACATGGAAAAACCTAACAGAGGGAAGCAAGGGGCAAGCTTCTGGTCTGCGCATCTAGGTAGGTTGTCTTGAAATTGACCACTACAATGGTCTGGTGCATGTCTTGAATGCGATGGGTCCTGGGTTTGGTCCCTGATCGAGTTATACCAAATGACACGTACTGATTCTTCAAGCAGTGCGTAGCACCCTGGCAGTATGAATACACGTACACCATGCCATTGCCAGTGCTTGCTCAACGGTGTGGCTCAAGGAGAATCGGAGATAGGCGCCCCAAATACACCATATGACGTGTACGCAGTCTAGTCTTTAAATCTGTGACATACTTAAACATTAAAACGCAGTCATCTGTCACTGATAAACGTAAACCTGGTGTCGTCCAGAAACGTCATTATAGAGTCTAATTATTTGATAATTGTTATTGTAAGTTTGCATTATTGTCGCCTTACTCGTGGCTTGTTTCAAAACTACATTTGGGACTGAAAAGACCCACCTTTCACCATAGATAGTTCTACTTAGCGGTGCTAGTCTAGTACCTAATACGGTCGTGGGTATCCAATACCACCTGTAATAATATCAAAATGATGATGAAATTTTTCACGGAATGAAAGCCCACGCAGTAACACAATGGACTATGATATTTTTTATCAACCTACGTCATACGCAACAATGAACAATAAAAGCACAATACAGAAGCCTCCTCTTATCGACCAAGTATTTGTGTTACGTATGTGTAAGGATTAGACACTGTTCAAAAGCAGACGCCTATGTTAGTCTTACTAACCATTAATTGATAACTAATGGTACAGACTTTACCCATGCATTGAGAACAAATAGTTACATCTTCTTTGTTGTGACGATATCATTTTCTGTGCTCGAAAAGTGACCGCGAGTACAGCTGATTGTATCCAGTAAGCCAATGGTTACAGGTGGCCAATATAGACTCCCCTTGCCACAGAGAATCTGCTTGTAGATTAGTAGTATATGAATAAATCAACAAGTTGACTTTGGCGTATCACGTATACGACTAGTTCTGGGATCTAAAGATGCTTTGCTATATTTCTTAAAAGAAATCACTCAACCAACTGATGTAAATAAGTTTGTAGTCCATATCTCACACATATACTGTATCTCAGTTACTCAAAATAGCGTGTCTAGTCTGTGGTTATTTAGAACTCATGTGCAATATCATGTAAGCTACGTTCCATGCATATCGTATCACCTATATGAAATAGTGCAGTGTTAGTCTTGATGTCTAACATGTCTTAATGTCTACATTAATGCTTGTGAGTTCTATACTCATAAGCATTACTGTAGACATTAGAGTCAATATCAGTATGATAATGTAGTATCTCTGTATCTGTATCAGTATAGCCGGCATAGCCGCCATTAGGCGTAGCACTTTAGCTTCGCAGGCACGCGGCGCGGCGGCAGCTGGCTACATTACACCGTACGACTTGTTACACCTAACCCTTAAACATCCAACTCTAAACATTGTTTAAAGCTATCTAATGATAATGCTGTACTTGGTGATAGCGAGTTCCACTCTGCGATAGGTCTAGGAAAGAATGACTTTTTGAACACCTCAATCCTTGGTTGATAACTCTAATCATGACTATTTATTGTTATTTTCTGAGGCCGAACAGCTTGCCATACATTGTACCTGCTACAATTCTTGTGCAATAAAGTTTGATTTGATTTGCTATGTTTCCAGGCCGCAGCAGGAGATGAAGGAGGCCCCGCGGCGGATGACGTCCTCGTACAACCCGCACTACCGGCAGCGGTACGACAGCATCTGGAGGCGGGAGGCGGTGAGGGACGGCCGGGCGGACGGCAGCCTCACGCCCATGCCGTACTACGGGGAGCGGAGGAACTCCACGCGACTCACCGCCTTCGTAGATCCAGAGGTAGGGATCCATATTTAATAGTTAGTGCTTATAAACCTACATTTCCTCCCTGGTCTCTCAGTCACTGACGAAAGCTAGTGGATACCAGCTGAAACGTCTGACGTTTCCAAAATCATATCCAGTTGCTTGAGTAACTGCTTTTTGGCGTATCGTATTACCTAGATGTCTAACCTTCATCGACGTAGGGATACATATTCTTTGTCATGAGAGTTAGTCGTGTGCATACTAATATAACATACGGCAAAACACTGCCTTCTTTTACGTGGATAATTTCATGAGGTTGCCCTGAAGCTGAAGAAGGTGACAGACGTACGGTTACCGAAACGTTGGATGTGAAAACCCACTGGTTTTTGAATATATATTGGAGTTTGTTGGAGTTTAACCTCTCCTTTAGCTGTCTACCTATAGTTAGTACAGTTTCTTTCATCTCCACCTTTTGCTAAACTAGAGACACCTGTTCTTTTTATTTTTGGACTAAAAAACCTAAAACTTTGTCAAGGGATGAGCAACCCACTGCTTCTGTGGCGCATTAAGTTCCCGCGTATTCATAAAACGTACAGTTTTGCCTTTCAAATACTAGTATTCCAATGACATCTCCCTCTTTCTCTTTCTAGTCGGAGAGACGGACCCCGCAGCCGTCCGTTGTTCAGGGCTCCTTCTACAGCCCGAGCAAGCGCGGCTCCACAGCCGGGACCATGTACGACCGGCGGACCTCCACCGCCATCCCGCAGCCTCAGGTCATGACCATCAACTACGACCCCATCCCTGAGGACGACTCGCCAGGTACGACTTTTTTTTTACCTTCATTTATGTACTTTAGCTATAAACTTCATCTTTATAACGCTTTTTTATTGTTGTAGTGAATAATAGTACTATAAGGCGTTTCTACTCGACAAGACAAAACCAATCCACACAATGTTGTGAATTACAATGAAAACAAGCAAACAAGCAAAAATACAAACAAGAGTAGTAGTATTAGTTAACGATGACTTGCAAATAAAATAGGACGCCGGACGCCATTTTAGGTTGCCATATTGAGCGCCGCCATTTTGTTTCTGACGTCATGCAGGCTACACCCCGCCACCTATAACGTCCCGGTCGGTTCGGACGAGTTGGACAGGCCAACAAAACCACGAAGCGATCAACTCTCCCGTCGGCAGACCAAGGTCCAACAGCCTGTCCCCCAACGGGAGAAGACACAGAAGGGTCAGTGCCCTCTCGGCCGACATCGAAGCCTTCAAGAAGGTCCCCTGGGATCAAATTTCAACCGGCAGGTCGTCTCTAACAAGCGGCTATGTCTGACGTATCTAATGTCGTATATAATGTATATATGTTGTTAAACGTTAACGTTCAGATCCTTCCACACTTTGGTAAACATTGAAGTTTCCAGAAAGACCACTGGGACTACATTTTAACCGGCAGATCGTCTCTGCATTTGTAACAAGCACGTCTGATGTATATAATATCGTAAATAAATGTTGTTAAAGGTTAACGTTTAAATCCTTCTCATATAAAACCTCTGTGTCTATGGCCCCCAGGCTGTGTAAGCAGTACAGTACAGGGGGCTAGCTAGTCCACTGCTTGAATGTACATGTGGATCAACGAAATCAAAATCGAAGAAAGTTTTTGGAGTGAAGAACGACGAAGCTGCTTTTCTGTTCAGCTTAAAGTTTTGTACTGTCTGGCCTAAAATATATGTATATCACAGGCATTGTGTGGCATGTGTTTTAAGAATTATGTACCCTGTATCCAATGTATATACGATGTGCCCTAAATGCTCAGCAATATGTCTAAGAGTTTTGTCCATTGATACCAATACATACACAATGTGCACTTAGACGTAAACGTTTCGGCAATTGGTGTTCTAGTAGAATGTGATGAAATGTCTTACAGTGCAACTTTGCACTTTCTAAATATCTTCAAGCAATATATTCTCTTAGCATTACAAGATTTACAAACCTTATGTTTGAAAATGTAATACTAAGTATGAAGTCTGTATAATTTCCTTGCAAGTATGTACTGAAACGTTACATGGCTGATGCCTTTACCGGTGTCAATGCATGTAAGTCGACGCAGAAGCTGTATTTCTTTGTGCATATATGCTGTCCTTGATCCTACAACGACCTGTCCCTGACCCATAGGAGCAGGAAGACACAATAAAGGTCATTAAGCTATTGATCCATCCATTCATTCAATATTGCTAATCCTTGTAGAGCAGAGATTTGTTCTCTAACTTAATCAAAGACAAATAGCAACACGAAGTCTGGCAAAGCATGGACGCTAAAATTGTTTCCTTGTACAACATATGGTAAGCCGTGAAGTAAGATTTATATAATCATATGATAACAAAACATGCATTCATAGTATAATATCTTTTTGAAAATAACTGCGTAATACTCCGGAGGTACCGTCACAGCTTGCTCCAACCGGTTTAAAAACATCCATTGTTTTAAGCCTGCAAATGTTACCGGTTGTTTAGCCCCAGACCGTTGACCAGTGTACACAGAGTGCGGTATGTGTGTGAAAACCATGCCGGTGATAGTTTGCCGTCTCTAGGCAACGCTACCAACAGACGGATGTTGGCCTGGCATGCGAGCAAGCATGTGACTTCTTACATCATGCAAAGGAGGAAACATTTGAAACACTTGGAAGTCGTAAAACAGAACTTCAATAGACGACTGGTTTGTCACGACTCTTCGAATTCAATCTATGGTCTTTTTATTTACGTTTATTTGAGGTGAGGGGGTTGTCAATCTATAGGACGTCTATATCTTACTGCATCTATATGATATCTATAAACTACATCCTACTATATCTAAACATATTTGCCATGAATTATGAAAAAAACGGGAAATTTTCTAAAACGTTTTCTAGGTAAACTAACCATGAAAATGACTGCAGAATGCATGTGTTTGCTATAACATGTGTTAGTGATGTATGACTCTCAAGTATCGACTTATGTTAGCTTGTCTCCAAAATTAGACCATTAGTTTCACTGTAGGGGTACTTAATCAAGTGATCTACCATGTTTGTTATTTTTACCCCCTTAAACGGTCCCCCGGATGACCCATTCTGACGTAGCACGCGATAATTCACTATTATCGGTGACATGTTTGCTTAAATGAGGCATCAGAGAAACCTAATTTCCAAATTTAGCCTCTCGCGACAAACTACACAAACAAGCCCGGCGTCTCAACACACATGCAAATTGGGTTGCATACCGTAAGGTACGCAACAGACTCAACAACCTCATTTCCACTAACAAATCCAATTATTACCAACGTCTCATAGAGTCGCTTAATGACCCATCCATTTCCAGTAAAAAATGGTGGCATGTTGTCAAATATTTTTACAGACCGAAGGTTTCTACCTCCATTCCACCTCTTCAGGAGGGCAGTTCTTATATCTTTGACTCGCTTGAGAAGGCTAGAATCTTAAACCAATATTTTGTTTCCCAGTCGACTATTGACGATTCACACGCCTCCCTCCCGGCCTTTGACTACCTTACATCCAGTCGGCTTTGCCACATCACTACCTCCCCTGATGAAGTTTTACTGTTTATCAACAACCTGGATACTGGCAAGGCCCATGGTTACGACAATATCGACAACCATTTTCTTAAAATTATTGCCCCTCTAATTGCAGATCATATATCTTTTGTCTTTAATTTGTCACTTTGTCACGGCCTCTTCCCGAAACTTGGAAATATGCACATGTTATACCGATTTTTAAAAAAAGGCGACCCACAAGACAAATGTAATTACCGACCTATATCTCTACTGCCCACCCTGTCAAAGGTACTTGAAAAAATAGTTTACAAACACCTCTATAACCATTTGATAAGTAACAATCTCTTATACCGTCTCCAGTCAGGCTTTGTCAAAGGCGATTCCACAGTCTGCCAGTTGGCCTATTTTACATATACTATATTACAAGCTTTAGAGGCAGGTAAAGATGTGCGAGCAGTATTTCTCGACTTCTCACGTGCCTTTGACAGGGTGTGGCACGCTGGACTCATCTTTAAGTTGCAACGTAACGGTTTAGAAGGACCACTTATTAATTGGATTGACAGTTACCTTAGTTACAGATCACAGCGAGTAGTTATTGATGGCCAGTCTTCTCCCTGGGCCACCACCAACGCCGGAGTTCCACAGGGCTCAATACTAGGTCCATTATTTTTCCTTATTTATATTAATGACATTGTAAATGATCTTGTTTCCCTCCCTTTTCTCTTCGCCGATGACAGCTCCCTTCTCCAGACTGCTGAAAACCCCCTCGATTCCGCTGTTTGTTTGAACTCTGACCTGTCCAAAATACATACATGGGCCACTCAGTGGCTCATGGAACTAAATCCGACAAAATCGGAAGAAATGTGCTTTTCAGCCAAGCGCGAACCCCTAGTTCACCCACCTCTCCTTCTTAACAACTGTGTTATAAAGTCTGTCAACACCCATAAGCATATTGGGGTCATCTTGTGCTCAAATATGTCATGGAATTCCCATATTAATTACATTGTATCCAAGATATCCAAAAGCATTGACCTCTTTAGTGGCCTTAAATTTAAACTACCTCGCAATACCCTCGAATCTCTTTACAAATCATATATACGCCCCTGTCTGGAGTATGGCGATGTCATCTGGCACGGGACGACAAGTGAGGAAGCACAACTCATTGAAAGAATACAATATCACTGTGCCCTCGTCGTGTCAGGTGCCACTAAGGGTTCGTCTTACCTGTCAACCAGGCACGAACTCGGGTGGGAATCATTATCAGATAGACGACATGTTCATCGACTTTGTTTGTTTCACAGAATCGTTCATGGTTTAACTCGCAACTACTTGTCTGAAATATTACCCGCGGCCATTTTTTCATCATGTACATATGACCTACGCAACAAGATGAACTTAAGATCTCCTAGTTACTCAACCAATCGTTTTGCTAAGTCTTTTGTTCCGTACTCGACACACCATTGGAATAATCTTGATTTGTCAACTCGTTCTTTAAACTACTGTCATTTTCGAACCGCTCTCCTCAAAACCATTCGGCCTGTTAAGTTCAAATACTTTAGCCATGGTCCTCGTCTTGCCTGTGTACACCTCACACGCCTTCGCATTGGCACCTGCAGCCTAAACCACAGTCTCTTCACACGAGGATTACTCGACAGTCCAGCTTGTAGCTGCGGGTGCCAACGCGAAACAGTGTCACACTACTTACTCCACTGCCCTATGTACAACGCCCAACGCATAATTCTCCTTGGCAAACTTTCCAGGCTATTAGGACACTCCCTCAACTTTACAGTTTTGTCTGACAACGCCAAAATGTTCCTCCTTCTCCGTGGTAGTCCCACATGTTCACTCATAGCAAATTTCAACATTTTGATGTTAACCCAACAATTCATCACCACAACAAAACGCTTCCAATAATCATTCTCTGTCATATTTTTCTGTGTCCTACAGTTTTATCTGCTTCATCATTGGGTGGGGAATCGGACTGCGCTCATAAACATTTCAACATCTTTGTACTTTATTATACTATTTCACATTTTGTCATCCCTTATTTCCTTGTATTTCATTTATTAAGTGGTAGCGTCAAAATAAGTATTGTAACTTGAGTGCGCTACCACTTTGTCCTGTATTTTGTCTTACTTGTGAAATTAATAAAAAAAAATACATTGAGAGGTACATCTGGTGTCCAGAACCGTGCTTTATCCAGAACCGTGCTTTATCCAGAACCTAGCCTCTACCAGGCACCGCGGATC